CTAAGCAAACAGGTGAATAGTATGACACCTATATCCACAGTAGGCCTTGAAACAAACAGGAAGGCCAATAAGAAACGTTCACGACGTCGCAAGACGACTACAACGTTCCCCAAGAAGGCAGACGATTGCAAGGTCTGCAATTCTATTGTCGAACAAGCAGACTCTGCTTTCGAATGTAACTTTTGTAGGCAATGGGTACATTGTAGATGTGACACCGGAGTACCAAAGGTATATTACGATTTTATGCGTAAGAACCCATGCCCATGGTTCTGGTACATATGCCCAAGTTGCCGTCCTAATGCAGCCTCGTGTAGTTCCTCGAAAGCTACAGATGGCATAGAGATATTAGGAAAAAACGTGAAACGTTTTACTCCCACCAACTCAGAAAACAGCACAATTGCATATAAATCGGGGATACCAAAATCCACACCGGTTATACTTGCAATTCCTGCCATAACTGCCCCAGACACAGAGGTTGAAGCACCAAGGGTACCTGTCGCTGGGAAAAGACCCTTACCGTCCACCAGTAAAAGTGGCCACAGCACTGCGACACTTAATAATACCCAGTTGCACCAGACAAAACAAATCGGTCTTAAGGGGGATGACAAATGTGTGAGGACCGTACCTAAATCCACGGTCAGTCGATCAAACTGCGTTATCCTCTTTAATGTACCAGACTGTAGCAGTAGTCTGCTGGAAAACAGGGCCCTGTTTGACCAGGAACAGTGGTCCAACATGTGTAGCACACTGGGTCTGGACATCCAACCAGTAAAACTGTGCAGATTGTATAAGGGCACTGCTGCTCCTCAAGGCAAACCATCCCCACTGAGGGTAACACTAGGCTCTGCCGAAGATGCCGAAAAAGTTTTATTGATTTCCCAAGTCCTTTCTATAGGGAGAACCTGCAATATACGTGTTAGGCCAGATAAGCCACGGAAGGAAAGACAGATGGCGAGGAAGGCGCCAGAGCTTATTCCTTCTGCCTCCATGGTTGTTCACGGCATTCCCGAACTGGAAACTGGGAACGCTTGTGAGAAGCACTGTCACGATGTCCAGCAATGGAGATGGTTGGCATCCCAGATGGGTCTGGGAAGTTCAGGGGCTGTCTCTATTTTTAGACTGCCTCGACCCACTCACCTAATGTCAATTAACACCCCACGTCTGTTAGCTGTTAAGTTCAGCTCCCGAGACCACTTGACTACTGCTCTCCAGAGATGGTACGAGACCAAGGACAAGGTCAGGAGACACATTCGCTGCTGCGAGAGCCGGCCTCGTACCCAAAGGAGAGAGCAAAACGTTGTCATAGAACACCCCCAACCCCTAGTCACAATACAGCGGTGCAGCACGGACGATGATAGCCAGTGTCATCCAAGTGCTCCGGTTGAATCAGAAGAAAAAAACGCCAACAGGCCGGTTCCCGGGGAATCGGCCAACTAGTTCGTAGGATAACTCCTCAACCGACAGCCCATATCACGTCAACCACCCCCCAATACGGGGACGCGGTGAGACTGACTTCCAGTTGCCTGTACAGTAATGTGAGAGGTCTAAGAGGCAAAATAGCTGAACTTAGATACCTACAATCACAGCTGAACTCCAAAATCATAATACTGACGGAAACCTGGCTAACCCCTACGGTGGCAGGCAGCGAAGTCAGTATAAATGATATGGTCCTTGTCAGGCGAGATAGGGATCTGAAAGAAGGAGGTGGAGTCGCCATATACGTCGACAAACAGCTCAGATGTGTCCATGCAATTGACCCTCCCCTCATTGAGCTCCCTGACTCCATATGGTGCCATTTCACTGTTGGGTACTGTAAGTATCTAGTGGGCAGCATTTACAGATCACCTTCATGTGGAGCAGACCACAACCAGGTACTGCTGAATGCAATTTCAGCGACACATGACATGGGTTGTGATCAAATTGTCATAGCCGGAGACTTTAATGCCCCATCTCTTAACTTGATGACGGGATGTGCCCAGGACAGATTTGATCGAAATCTGCTGCATACCATCACGGAGGCCGGATTCACCGAAAATGTCAGAATGGATACTAGATGGGGCCCAGATGGGAAGTCTTCTAGACTGGATTACGTGCTCACTAGTGACCAGCTACCAGTGGAAAACGTTCAGATCACGACTTCCATAGGTAGTAGTGACCACGCGGTCATAACATTCGACATAGTCCTCCGCGAGCGTTTACAGTGGGACAATACACAGCCCTATCTGTGTTATAACAAAGCCAATTACACCGAAATGCGAAGACTTTTGTCTGAAGCAAATTGGCCAAAATATTGGACAGAGCTTACAGTAGAAGAACACTAGAGAGTGGTAAAGGAGATCATTCACCAGGCGATCTCAGACACTGTTCCTTTGGTCACACCTAAGGCTAGAAAGCAACGTTCATGGCTAAAAAGGGGGACACAACGCCTTCTACAGGCGAAGCGAAAAGCCTGGTTTGCGTGGCGAGTATCGCAGAGTCAACCCGAACATGAAGAGTACCTCGAACTCAGGAATCGGTGTAACATACGAGTCCGGAGTGATAGAAGGACATTTCAGAGAAACCTCGCCAATAAGCTCCTCGTGAACCCCAAAAGCCTATACAGGTTTATGTCTGAAAGAAAACCGACCAACCAGGGAGCTTGCAATCTAGTGGGTTCTGATGGGAAATCTCTCACTAGTCTTGAAATGGCAGAGACATTCAGTCTAGCCTTTCACAGGCAACTGAACAGTAATGAGGATTTTACCCCCACAAAACATCGAGATTACAATGCAAAACCAACGCGCGAAAACCTGCTGGGTAAATTTCAAATTACCCCGGCTATGGTAATCGTAAAATTGGGAAAGTTGGCTTCGGGAAAGTCTGCACGTTGCGATGACATAAGACCATCCGTCCTGAAGCAGTGTTCAGAAAGTCTCTGCCAACCCCTAAGTGATCTGTTTCAACACTCCTTTGATGTAGGGAAACTTCCATGTGAATGGAAACGAGCCATCCTATCCCCTATCTTCAAGGGTGGTGACCGGCAGAACGCGACCAGTTACAGACCAGTTGCGCTACTCCCAGTGATATCGAAGATATTGGAAAGTCTCATTGACGACCACATGAGAAAATACTTCGACGGGACTAACCTACTCCATGAAGCACAGCACGGTTTCAGGAGGGGAAGATCCTGTGTGACGAATCTTCTACTAGCTTGGAACGATTGGACACTATCATGGGATGTAAAAGTACCAGTCCATGTGATCTTTCTCGACTTTGCGAAAGCATTCGACACAGTTCACCATGGTCTGCTCCTTCACAAAATAAGCAAAGCGGGTGTTTCTGGAGCACTTCTCGCATGGCTGGAAGATTATTTAGGCGAGAAAGAATTCTGCACCAAAGTCAACCGCATCCGATCATCCTGGCACACCTCGGCATCAGGGGTTCCTCAGGGTTTTATCAACGACCTGCCCTGTCAACTGAATTGCTCTGCGCTTCTCTACGCTGACGACGTAAGGATTTGGAGAGCAATAAACTCATCGGAAGACTCCGACAGATTGCAGGCTGACCTGCAAACGCTGGGAGACTGGGCTCTGGCTAACGGAATGCCTTTCAACTTAAAGAAGTGCAAAGTAGTGCAACTTCATTCCGGCAGGTCACAGAGTGCAAATTACACCCTTGGTGGCCAGAACTTGAGTTGTGTGCCATCAGAACGCGATCTAGGCCTTATTTTAACAGAAAAGCTAGACACCAGTGTAAATTACACGAGGGACGTCGCCAAAGCTTACACCACTTTACACTTTATGCATAGGCAGCTGGGAGCTCTTACTCCTGAACTATTCCTAACGTTGTATACGACATACGTGCGGCCACTCCTTGAGGTGCATAATATCATTGCTCCTCCTCTACTCAAAAGGGATGCTAACATGCTAGAAAGTGTCCAGATACGAGCGACAAAATGGGTGATCGGCCTCCGCAACAAATCATATGAGGAGAGACTGAAGAAATTAAGTCTTTTCACACTTAGTTACCGTAGTCACAGGGGAGACCTCATCACCGTCTATAAGATCTTAAATGACCAAGGCCATCCTAATAAGAGCATCCTGCCATTAAGTGATTATAGGCTTCCACGAGGTAACCCGCTAAGGATAGCACACCAGAGACCAAAGACTCGAGTGCGTTCACATTTCTTCTCGCTTCGAGTTTGCCGTCTATGGAACGCTTTACCGGCGGCCGTAACTATAGCTCCATCTGTGGAGACTTTTAAGCGGAAGCTGGACAATCATGCAGAAATGCATGGTTTGTGTCTCAACGGCTTACCCTCTTAAAATTTGAAACCACATTGTCAATGGATAAGCATACAAGCTAAATCCCCACGACCCGTCTTGTCTTCTCCCACTGTACCGACTACTCTATCTTTTCTTTCATTCTTTGTTATTTCACCTTTATTATTTCACTTATCTCAACCTATATTATCTACACTACAACCTACTATTATTATTACTATTCTACTTTTATGACTACACCGAATGACCAACGGGTGTTAGGTCAAACTCCATTCACGGCAGCAGCTGAGTCCTAACATACTGCACAATACAAATCACAATCTTGACCAATCCTCGCACCACTCCTCTTGGAGTCTACCAGAGCTAAAGCAGTCGAGTGGCGGGATTTACTACGCATAAGTTCACCGAAGATCTGGAACCTCTACCTCACAATCAAGAAGAGAGCTCAAAGAAATCACTGGTTTATACTAGCTCGTAATCAGGATATTGGATATTGGAAGGTAGCGGTACATATCTCTTGTGCGTTACACTCGTTCAGTGCGTTACAGCCTCCTGCGTAAGTGGAGTTTTTAAAGCTTTTTGTTGATATAAATGTCATCATACAATTCATATTCAGTCTTCTATAGGAGGCTGAAATTTTTTTTATAGCTACATATTAATGAACTTGTTCTGGACTGACTGTGATGGCCGTACGGTCAACTCAACTGCAGTTGTTTCACAGCCTTTAACAGATACTTTCACGTGGACAGTATGATATTGATAGATCTGAGATGCATCCTTTCTCTCATACTTGATTTCTATCTGTATAACATTGTCTACATTTCTCTTTATAAACTGCAAACCAGTGTCTCTCTGCTCAAGCTTACAACAATTCTAAATCTATTCTAACCTATTCTTCGATAATGCCTTTTTATGGTAAGCGAAGATTTTATCTACCCAATATGTTCTGAAATAACGCTGGTCGTGCCTAAAAAGAGAGCTGGGTGCTGAATTAAGTCTTTTCGTTCTGAAGTAACGCTAGTCCGTGCTTAATATGTCCTGTGAGGGCTGGAACAACGCTGATAAGCAAACCCCAGAAAAAGAACACCGTTTTGAATCAGTGCCAGTCATGCTGAAAACCAGCATTGAGTTCTAGTCTGTGCCATGAAAGAATCCATTTCAGAACAGATTCAGAATTTACTCACTATAGAATGTTAGAATTATTTCAGAATTAGTGAGATTTAATTCAGCGTTATAGTACATCCGGTGTTTCTAATTCCAGTATAAGCATTATCAACACATTGTCAACTTTACATGGTTATTCAATTTCTAGGTACACCATAATAATGTATACTGTTAGTTAACTGCACTACAACTACAATTCCTTTCGATGTATGACCAGACATTGCTAGAAACGGCTATGTATCCTTGTAAACACTTATCTTTAGATACGAAACAATTATTATCTCGTGATTGCGTCCATCTGCTCCTGCATTACTCCTTTTTAAAACCCAATGCAATTTACTGTTTTATTGTGTATTACATCCAACCTAACGCAAACCCACGCCTTCTGTATAAGATGCCGTTAGGTGTGGAAACTTGGAGTCCTATTATGTAGTACTAGGTTATGTTAATATCATCTATCTGCTAATATCAGCAATATCTATTACTTCATTCAAAAATTTAATATGATGTACTTATTATTTACCATAGCTTGTTGGGAACTATTTTTTGAATTTTCAAATGTTTGGAGTGAATTCATAGAAGCACTGAACCTAAGTTTTGTTCACGCATCGATATGTAGTGTCTGTAATTATGAAAAAGAACGATTTGTGTTATTAAACTACCTCTGAAAGCTTTCATGACTACACTTACAGTACTACTAGTAATAGTTTACACCGGACTACTTTATAAAAGCATTTACAATATTGGATGGGCGAAGTTCAACAATAGCGTCCCGGGAGTGCGAACGCTCCAATGATCTTGAACGCATGCTAGTCGTTGGCTAATGGCACCTGTCACTATCATAGTGGAAATATTAACGCTATTCATCAACTAAGCAGCAAATTTCACCCAGATCACGTTTTTAAGTGCTATTTCGACAATGTGTTAAAAGGTCGTTAGGGGTAGAATTAAGGTTAAGCTAAGTATTTGGGACAAAGTTAGGATCAGGGTCATAATTAGCATTAGGGTTAGGTTTGCGGTTATGATAAGGGTTGTAATCGGGGTTAGTGTTAAGTTTAGGGTTAGGGTCAGGATTAAGTATAGGTTTACGCCTAGAGATAGATTTAGAGTTGATGTCATTTATTTTAATTTGTTTTATTATCCTCATTTTCCTGGTAAGTAGTCGCCGGGCAATGTTAGCTGATATAGGGTCAGGCTGGAAAAGAGCTAGCGGCGGTCAAACCAAAACATGGCACCAGTCAATGAAATCCACAACAGTTAGTCTAAGTCATGTAGGAAGATGTAGACTGCCTTCCTGGTTGGGGTCCTCGGGATGGTAAAAACCTATGGTTGGAAACAATTGGTGACATGGCTCAAAATCGCTCTCAGTGGCGCAGATGCATCCACTCCTTGTGACTTATGATTTCCAATTAAACTGTTCTGTTCTCCGTTATTACTATTCCTTTGTTTCACACCTCTGTTTACTGTCTATATTATGCATTTCTTCTACTTTCTTCTCATGCTTTGTGTGCTACAAGGAGGGAGTGTGGCGACTTGAACTGCCGCACATATGTGCAAAGTTCTATGTCGAAAACCGACCGACCGGTAAGTAGTCGTCGATCCTCTTACTGAAAACTATAGTAGTTCAACCAAGGGCTTTGGGGAGGACTGCACACCAGGATAAGAGAGATAAACAATTCACAAAAACAGCTCATCTTTAGTTATCTCGATAAATACATGTAAAGAGATTAATCTAACTTAGCAACTTATACTCTCCTTTATAACTGGGACGTATTTTTAAGTGGTAAGAGAAAGATAACCTGTATTTTTGTGCAAAAGTCACTTAATTTTATGATTGGTCGGCTGAAGGTCATTCGTGCGTTTGCATCCCTTGGGATGCTGTTGTTGAACTTTGCCGTCTCCTGTACCTCACTAAGTCTGGGTTGTGACTTTTGCTATCTGTAGCCTAGAAGCAGGGAATTCGAGAAAAGGTACTGTACCAGATATTGAAATGTTGGCCTTAGTGTAGAGATTAAGTAGAACTGTGTCCACTGTTATACATCCTCTAAGATGGTGTTCGTGTTAGCAGTATGTTGGGGAATGTTTTGGGCCACTGAAATAACAGGAATTAAAGGCTATGGAACACGACTGACACAGAAAGTATGCATTTAAAATTTTCGATATTTCTTGAATTCTCGATTTGCTGAACTCAACTCTTCTTTGGAATTGTTTATTAGTCAGAGGTATTCCCGAGAAGTTTGTTGATATCCTGAAAACCACTTCACAAAAACACTTCAGATAGAGTGAGGGCACATAACAATCTATCACTTCTCAGGCAACGATGTGATTAGACAGGGCTACCTATTCTCACCATTTCTCTTTAATTTTGCCATTTATGATATTTTGGCGACAACTCTAAAGGAGATGCGTTGTGTTAGCGATAACATGTTGCCGGGATAAAAAACTGCTTAACTTTTAGTATGCAAACTATATTTCTTGTTTTGGGATAACAATTCGCACTTAATTAGTTGATGTGTGCTATACTCCGTCTAAGTATAAAGTACTGTTGCGAGGTTGACTGGAGCCTGCACCTGCATTTACCCTTGCAGATGAACTGTTAGAAGCAGTGGATAAGTCCATGTGTCTAGCCTGTTATGTCATTACTGGCTGTGTGATGGACGAATTTTCTAATCGTATAGTGAAAGCAGAATGTGTATGGATATGGTGAAAATTGTCTTTCAATAGGTGTTGTCATTATGGAACACCGGCTTTGACAATCTAAACATATACTACGAATGTCATTCCATAGGTTCTCATACCGTTCATAGTTAACCAGTCCTAAGACTGTATAGCAGAGGTGGAGTAGTCATCATAGAACGTGGCGTTATGGAATAAAGGATAGTTGTGTTGATTGGCATCTATTGATGCATTGCTGCTTCCTGGTTAGGGTCCGAGAGATAATCCGAATCAGTGGCTGGAGACGTTATCAGATATGGTGGAGAATCGTAGTCAATCGTGAACATGCTTCAGCTTTCTGTTTCTTTCTGGAGACAGTATGAAATAATGCACACTCCGTAAATGCTCTTGAAAAGCATCCTTATATATCTTCAGGATTCAGCTCAATCTTTCTACTTCTTTCCCATATATATTGTGTTTCATTACTTTTTTTGTAGTGCATCTCTTCATGCCCATATTATACTAAATTTGTGTTTAAATAAAATTAAATAATTTAAAATACAATCTTTCATATCCCCACTTCCTTGTAAAACACATTTACTTCAAGTATTAACACGCTTAATATGTTTATCTTTGTAAGTGTACTACTAATTCCTCCTGAATTTTCGTGTAGTAACCTCATTTTCTTTCGATTGACTTATTCTTCGTATGTTTTTGTTCGTTGTTATTCTGAAGTATTCTGAAGTCATTCAATTATCAGGTCTTAAGTTGTCTTGTCGTGCTTTTGTAACCAATGTCTGTCTAGATGGTGCAAATACACTGTTACTTCATTTTCAACTAAGTTTTGATTGCTTTGTTACTTGGTTATTACATCTAGTTTGTTTCGGTATCTTTTCATTCATGTTTATATTTTAGTCTTTGTACTGCTTCAAAGTGTAGGACATTGTCGAATGTTATGTATGTTATGTCCACCTCAGCGTCTACATGTATGCTATGCTCCCATTAGCACTGGATAGACTGTTTCCGATAAATAAATATAATTTGAACAAAGAAAGAACAAACATGTTTGTAGGATATAAGCTCGTCTTATTTTGTGGGGATTCTTTTTAACTGCGTTTATCCCAAACAATATGGAAATATGTTTCAAAATTTCTGAACATACTTTTCTCACAGTGACGTCGAGTTCGGTCGGTCGGTCGGTCGGTTTTCGACATAGAACTTTGCACATATGTGCGGCAGTTCAAGTCGCCACACTCCCTCCTTGTAGCACACAAAGCATGAGAAGAAAGTAGAAGAAATGCATAATATAGACAGTAAACAGAGGTGTGAGACAAAGGAATAGTAATAACGGAGAACAGAACAGTTTAATTGGAAATCATAAGTCACAAGGAGTGGATGCATCTGCGCCACTGAGAACGATTTTGAGCCATGTCACCAACTGTTTCCAACCATTGGTTTTTACCATCCCGAGGGCCCCAACCAGGAAGTCTACATCTTCCTACGTGGCTTAGATTAACTGTTGTGGATTTCATTGATTGGTGCCATGTTTTGGTTTGACCGCCGCTAGCTCTTTTCCAGCCTGACCCTATATCAGCTAACATTGCCCGTCGAGAAAGGCGATGACTAGGCATACGTAGCACATGTCCTAACCATCTCAGTCGAAGTAATTTCACAGTCTCGTCGATTGATTTCCCCGCCTTACCTAGCACTCGACGCCTAACCTCAATATTGCTCACCTTATTATACCACTTCACGCGGGAGATAGAACGCAGACACCTATGATCGAAGACAGCTAATCTTTTCATGTCTTCTGCTCTCAATGGCCAGGTCTCACAGCCATAAAGGAGGACGGAGCGGACTGTTGAGCAGTACACACGCCCTTTGGTCGATAGTCGGATATCGCGTCTACGCCAGAGACGGCGAAAACTGGCATATGCGAACCTAGCCCTCTGTATTCGTGCTGAAATTTCGTCGGAGATCAACCCGTTGGCACTGGCTGATGGTACTTCCCAAGTAAGTGAAGCGGTCAACGTGTTCTACCACTTCACTTCCTATTTCTAATCTAGGGGTCGATGAAGTCCAATCCTGCAGCATCATCTTACATTTTATAGGGGCGAATCGCATGCCAAACATGCGGAGATTGTTGCTCAGGGTGTTCAGTAGACTCTGCATTTTGTCAGAGTCCTCGCCTAGAAGGACTATATCGTCCGCATATTCTAAGTCGACGAGATTATTCCCTGGTAGCAAGTCAATCCCTGAGTCGCTGAAGTGAGTTAGGGTTAAGTCCATTAGTACATCTATGATGAAGTTGAATAGAAATGGGGATAATGGGCATCCTTGACGGACGCCACTAGTCGTCACCACTTCAGATGACAACTCGCCATAAGCCCTCACCTGGCTGCATGAGTACGAGTAGAGTGCCTTAATCAGTGCAATGTATTTACTCGGCATCCCCTTTACAGCCAAGCATCGCCAGAGAACCTCCCGGTCGACAGAATCGAATGCCGCCTTTAGGTCAAGAAATATAATGATTGTCGGACGCCGGTAGGAATGCCTATGTTCTAGAATCTGTCGAAGGGTGAAGATGTGATCAATACACCCTCTACCTGGCCTAAAACCTGCCTGGTTTTCTCGTGTTTGTGTCTCCCGAGCACCACTTAATCTACGCAGTATTATTGAGCCTAGGATTTTAGATACTATATTAGTCAAGCTAATCCCTCTGTGATTATCACAAGACGACTTGTCCCCCTTCTTGTATATCGGGATGATCAGTGACTTACACCAACCCGCTGGGACTTCCTCTGATTCCCAGACGCTGCCTAGAACCTCCGTTAACGCAGACAGTAAACTGTCGCCTCCGTACTTAAATACCTCTGGAGTCAATAAATCAGGTCCCGCTGCTTTGCCTTGCTTCAGATTGGTGACAGCTTTAGTAACCTCGGTTAAGGACGGAGGACCTGTGTCTATCTCCCATTCAGGGAGGTGTTGGATGTCCGGTAGGTTAAGTGTGGCTGTGGGCCAATTAAACTGCTCCTCATAGTGTTCTTTCCAGGGCTCCAGACGTCTATCCTGGAAGCTAATTATGGTGCCATTTTTCTCGGAGATTGTTTCGCTTATCATTTGTTTTTTACCACCTGTTTCCCTGATAAGCCTGAATAGTTGTCTGGTGTTGCCTATCGCCGATGCTTTTTCCATCTCTTTCGCCTTTGTCAACCACCACTGTTCACGGTCCTTGCGGAGACTTTTCGTAAGTTTCCTCTTGTGCAGCTTTCGCTCCTCATTGAATTCGGAGCTCGCCGGAATAAGTCTTCTAGCATCTATCAGTTCGGATGAGGCAGTCGAAATCCAGTGGTTTTTACTCACCTTTGGAATTACCTTATTCACAGCTTTTACAGCTGTATCTATGGCTGACTGAATATTCTTCCAGGCTTCTTCAGGGTGAGCGCAACTGTCAAACTCAGATATGTGTTTAGCTAGTTCTTCCTCAAATAGGGACTTAGTTCCCTGGTCGAGCTGGGGACGTGATGGGTTTACCGCTCGCTGTTTCCTACGTCCGTTCAGTCGTAAGTACACACGAGCGCGGACCAGTGCGTGATCGGTATCTACACACGTGTTCCAGAAGGAGCGACAATCTCCTACCGACCCACGTCAACGATAGCTTATTGCTATGTGGTCTATTTGTGTCCAGCGTTGATTTGATGATGGGGGTCGCCAGGTCAGACAGTGTCTCTCCTTGTGTTTGAAGTTAGTGCTTACAAGATACAAATGATTATCTGAACAGAACTGTAGGAGACGGTCACCGTTGTCGGTTCGCTGGCACGGAATTCCGTATGTGCCACCGACATTCTTCTCAGATTGACACAATTTCCCTACTTGAGCATTAAAGTCACCAGCTAAAACGACTATATCTGAGCGTCTAGCCTTTCGCAGCAAACTAGACAGCTTTTGGTAGAACTCATCCTTCGTTTCATCCGAACTGCAGTCAGTGGGGGCGTAGGCGGAGATTACGAAAAGGCATCGGCGAGTAGTGCAGTCCTTTCTCCTTTTCACTGATCCGTTCAGGCGGACAGCGCACATTCGGCTATCTACCGGGATCCAGTCAAGTAATGTTTTTTCTACCCTAGTACTTAAAGCTATCCCTACACCAGCTAATCCTCGAGAGCTAGCCGTCGCATCTCCTGATACCCTCAAGGTGAATTTTGCAGATTCATCCTGTTGGCCAGGTGGGGTTAGGTGAATAACCACACTTGGGTCTTGTATGCGTGTTTCTGAAACACAACATACATCAATGGCTCGGGATGCCAGAGTCTTGGCTAGAGATGCTTGTTGTCCTATTTGGCAAAGTGTCCTAACATTAAATGCTCCTATATAAAATTGGTGGCGTGGTTTTAGGAGACAATCAGTGGTGGCTTTTTGGCTTCCATCGTTATCAGTGCACACAGAGTGAAGGGGAAGTGAAGAGCCAACAAGTAGAGTTATCGATAACCAGTGAGTATAGGCAACATAATTCCGAAATGATGTAAGTAGACGAGGTATTCAAAGACTAACTATTTACAGTATAATTAGACAAGATGGGGTGGGTAGAGGTTAGATTTTGTTTAGAAACACGTAAATGAGCTCTTATTGTCCTGCAAATATGTTCCTTCTTTTTTGGTCAAACTAATCGACGGAACTGCTTGTATAAAATAATTCTGGTGTTTTGCATGAATTGGTAGTACGCGTGTAGTGTTTTTAGAAAGGTAATGAAATTACTTGTCGATTTACTTAGCTATAGGTGGATGTAATATCCGCCAAATTTTACTGGAATGGTTTGTAAAAATGTGACTCATTTGCCTAAGCACTTGATTGCTTGATACTTGGTCTTTGATTAAAGTTCCGCTTCACCTTTGCGTGAGCGGTGGTGTAGTCATCATGCACTAGACGTGCCTTATAGTACAGTACCAGATAATTCAGCAGTATTATTTTTCCTGTATTAAACTGATCTATCAATTGAATTTATAATTCTAAATTGTTAATGCTTTCCTTTAGTTGATAAAGTAGACAAATAGTTGCTCACTATGGAAACTATCCTCGAACAACAACGTCGATATCATGAAGAACGGGAAAGACTCATAAATGAGTTAACAAAAGAAATGCTTTATCATCCTACTACAGTAAGTTGTATACTTATGTAAAATTAAGTTTTAGCATCGGGAAAAATTGAATTCAGAACTTCGACTAAGACTAATGTATGATGTAAGTGAGGACTTGTCTTATTTTATGGTTTCAGAGATACTTTGATGTCACTCAAGATCTGAAAGATCTTTATGAAGATAAAGATGGGTGGGTTTATTTCTAATTTATTTTAATGCGATTTCCTGTAGCCTCCGTAAGGCTGATATTCAAACTCTTTCAGGTCCAAATGAGTTCAATGAGTTTTATGAAAGATTAAAACAGATAAAAGAATTTCATCGTAAACATCCTGGAGAGGTAATTTATTTACTTAACATATCTTATTATGTAATAAGATATCCGTTCCAATGTCTGTTGAGTTTGAGAAATATAAAGAAATGCGGGAAAAACCTGAAGAAGCGAATGCTGTCCTAATTGATTTTTCAGATGAGGAAGGCTATGGTCGTTATCTGGACTTACACGATGTATATAAAAAGTATTTAAATGTTAAAGGTGTTCCAGTAAGTTATATTTTTAAAATAATTACTGCTTCCCTCCAGCGTATAGATTATCTAACTTATATCTCCTTTTTCGATCGGCTGTATGATATATCTCGTGACAGAAAAGGAATAGCATACAAAGCGTGAGTATTTTTTTCGCAACTCTTATAAATTTTACTTACTAGTTACCTTGAAGATTTATTAGCCTATCTTGAGAACTTTGTATCGCGGGCTAGACCTATTGTGGATTTAGAGGAGGTAAGATAATTTTCAAAACAAAATATTACCCATCCAATTTCTCGTTTTGTTTTTAGGAAACTAAGGAAGCACTCGCTAAATTCGAAACTCAATGGAGTCAAGGAACTTTTCCTGGTTGGGGTCGTGAAGCAGCCTCTGCCTTAGCTCATGGTGGGGCTCATTTGGACTTGACTGCTTTTACAGCCTGGGAAGAACTTGCTTCGCTTGGGCTTGATAGACTTAAATCAGCTCTACTCGCCTTGGGATTGAAATGCGGTGGAACCTTAGAAGAAAGAGCCCGTCGTTTGTGGGCTACTAAGGGGAAAGCTCTTGAAGAGTTACCCACAGACCTGTTTGTTACAAAGCAACGCGCAACGAAAGGTTTCGCTAAAACAGCCGCTTGGGGACATGTCCCTTTGTAAGTCGAATTTTCTTGGTTTCTATTTTAATGAATTTACTTTTTTATACAACCGTTAAATCACACTCTGTTTCCTTTTCTAGAGCATTGTCGGAGAAATTGAAAGAGGTTGCTACATTAGAAGCTAGAATATACAGGCTCAGTGAACTTGTAAGAGAACATCGAGAAGCCACTATTGAAAATGTACAACGTCGGCAGGCACGAATTGGATTTGAAAGAGATGAAGATGATACAGATGCAGATAAAGATGCTGCAGATGCAGAAAATGGACAGAATGGAGAAGATGATGATATCCCTTATAATCCAAAAAATCTACCTCTTGGTTGGGATGGCAAGGTAAGTTATTTGATGATTTTTTTATTGCTTAATAGTCATCAGTGTGTGTGTGTGTGTGTTAGTGTCAGTAATTGTTTTAATATGGCATAAATATTTGCGATAGATAAAAAAGGTACAATGTTTTTCTGTTGTTAGTTTTCTGCTTGTCTATGAATAGTTAGATTTCTATTTCTCAATCGTATTTCATATATTATATATCCTTGATTACTTGAATGCCCTAAGTGCTTGCTTACACTTTATTACACCCACATAGTTACAGTTGAGGTGTTTGCTTTTGATATATTGAGAATACTATTCCCTGAACTCGATCTGTTAGCATTGACTACTACACAAAAGTGAAGATAAAACTCAGTGGTATACGAAAGTCAAGATAAGGACGAAATTAACAGTCTATGAAGAAAATAGTAGATAGTAATAATAATAATAAAGAAATATTTAAGTATTGCTTAGTTTGCTTAGAAGATTGAATATTCCCAGGATTTTGATGCTAGAACGCCTCGTCTTGTTGAGCCATGAGAAATCAAAGTGGTACTAACAGGTATATTCTACTCATCTTGGTTAGAAATTGGTTACCCTAAACAGATTTTTCGTTTACCAGACCGTGAACCACACTTACTGTAGGGAAGCTGATGATATCACCCAGTTTCTCAGGCTAAAGTACGTGAAGCGCGGTTTGAACCTGGGACCGACTAACTAGAAGCTGAGTGCCTAAGCCAATGAACCACATCTCCACCAATCATCCTTGGCACTTGGTGGTAAAGGAGGCAGGTTTTAAAGATCATATCGCACACTGTCATAATTTAGAAATTTCTTCCCATTTGTAAAACCTCTTATTAGTACTAAAAAGATTTGTGTTAAAAGTGAAGGTGAGATTGTATTAACGCCCCACTTATTCTGTGGGAACGCTACGCTACTGATTGATACTGATCATTCTCAGGAAATGCTGTAATCATATTATTATTGCTCAACATAAACCAACAATACATTTTTCTCAGTTCAACTTGTTCCTTTCACCACAGTAATATATTGAAATTACCTAAAGAATTTCCCCTTATTGTAGAGCTTCAATGGAATGTTCACTCTGATTAGTTAGTTTTAGTTTATTGTGTCATGGCAGTTTGTCAACGAATCAGACTGTTATATCAAAGTAACAACCAGATTAAAAACTGGGAAAGAGTTGTGTATAAATTCTGGACACTTTTTGTAGAATAATTAATATGTGTGAACTTTGCATGTTTATCAAAAGAATATTCATTTGCCTTACATTTTGTTAGTTATTTTCCCTTCATTTCACTGGTGTTTTTTCTATTAAACGACTGTTCCGTTTGTATTCTCTGTTGATTTGTTAGTCTGTTTTATGAGGACTACTGAACTTTTGTTACATGAGGTGGTTGGGATTCGAACCCATTGTATACTGGTTTCAAAAGTCCCTTAGCCACTTAGCTATAGTTTGATGTTTTAAAGTTAGATGACATTGTTTGAGAAGAAATCCGACGACATTGACTGGCGGTTGCGCCATTCGTCACAAATAGGGAGAATTGGAATTTTATGGACAATTGGATCAGGTTCCATTGGCTGGAATGGTCTACCAGCTTCGTCTGTAGCTGAAAGTTCCTGGATTCGAACCCCAGAGGGTGGGTACTGATCAAGAAAGGGATGGAACAGTTGTCCAGTACTCCCTGACTTTCCAGTGGTCCTCTAACTGATGTCGGCTGGTCATCAAACCTGTAACTTGTCAAGTCCCTGCAAACCAACATTTGAATGTATATATATATATAATATCTAATTGTCTTTTTTGTTATTTAGCCTATTCCCTATTGGTTATACAAATTACATGGATTAAATATGTACTATAGCTGTGAAATATGCGGTAATCAAACCTATCGTGGTCCTAAAGCTTTTCAACAACACTTTTCTGAATGGCGACATGCACATGGTATGCGATGTTTAGGTATTCCGAATACAATACATTTTGCTCATGTAACAAAGATTGAAGATGCTTTAGCTTTATGGCAGAGGATAAGAACAATGAAAGAAGGTGAACGTTGGCGTCCAGAAGTTGAAGAAGAATTAGAAGATTCATCTGGTAATGTTGTTTCAAGAAAGACCTATGAAGATTTAAAACGTCAAGGTCTTCTTTGAATATGTATTGGGGGCGTGGCAGAGAGGCAGGGAGGGTTGGTAATACAACGAAACTGTGAAATTATTATCTTTCTCTTCTCCCATTGTAATAAATGTGTACACTTTCAGAATATAAACTTTTAACTAAACTTTATTGTTTTTATTTTGGAAATTCAAATGTTTGATACTTTGTTGTACTGTGTATTCGATGTGATTGTCGTCATTCTCGGCTAGTTGAAAGCAATATTCGCACGGAAACTTCAAAATAAAGAAAAAAATGTGAAGCTAAAAGCTACACATATTGTGTAAGGGTTAATTATACTATTTGGTCTCCCAGTCTGAAGTAGGTAGAGTGGGACTCGAACCCACCATCCCCTTCCTGTAAGTCGAGTGCTGAAACCAATGAGTCGTAATAACTAAAATTAGTATAATGAAGTAGTAAATTTAAATTAATCTCTTCTAAGTAGTACGCTGTATGTAATGGATCTGTGAAAATATGAGACAATCATCTAAAGAACCAATGAAAACTTTAAAGCAATAGATAGCTGTTTTCTCTCTCCAGTTACGATATCTTCAGTGATGTTCATCCGTAGTCTTGTAGGAGTTCAAGCCTAGTTCTTGTAGTCACTGATGAAGTCTACTTTAGAAGTAGTCAAATCCCAAGAGATTTCTAGTAACTGAATGATCTTAAGAATTGGAGTCCACTTATTTATTCTTGTTCCCTTTGGTTTCGAGTGGGACATACGGCTTCTACTTGGTCCTATTCTCTGCGGTCCTCTTTAGCTGGTCCCACCACTGCCCATAGTCTCTCATCTCCTCCTCCATGTCACCCTCGAACGACCCACTCGTTGTTTCCCGTTGTCACCCGACAGTCTCCTCAGCATGTGTCCGACTCATCTCCACTTTCTTCTTCGGAATATCTGTTGAGCAGTAGGTTCTTGATTGGTTCGTTTCCAGAGTTTCCTGTTGCTGATCCTGTTTCGCTTTCTAGTTTTCAACAGAAATTCAATTACTAGGTTATAAATTTAAGACTACTAAATTATGGAATTGCTTTTTAAAAAGGAATTACACAGTTAATGTGTCTGTCAATACTAAAGTATGTCAGGCGAGTTTTAAATGTGTAACTAACTAATGATAATAATAGGCCAATCAAATATTGTGTGAGGGCTGGCTGAATTAGGTGGGGTAGGACTCAAACCTGGGGCCCATTAGTTCTATGTTGAGTCCTGTCGTTGTCACTATATATATCTCACTGCTATTATATTTATTATATTACTATATTTCATTCTTTTACGTTCCGAGTAAGAAATAGGGTTTCAAGCTAGAGCCCCGAAGTTTCGGTAGCAGTGGTTTTATTTTGACGATATGGATTGCTGACCTCACACCCCATATTCCCCTATTCACTAGGTTTAGGAGTTTATCGGCAGGAGATCGAAATCCAGACCACGTGCGTGGTTGGCGAGTGTTCTACTGCTGAACCACAAACGCACACATATATCTCATTGGAAATAAGTTATCCGTTCTTCATCACGTTTCAGTGATTCCCTCCGTGTAATTGTTAAAAAGGCTTTATAGAGATCTCTCAAAGTTTCTAGTCAACACTGCATCTCACAATAAGAAGATACCATTTGATCGTGTTCGTATGAATTGATCTATTTTCATAAAATATGTAGACGCCTATTATAACTGAGGAGTAATTGTACACTTTTGTTCGTTATTTTGTTTTGTAGATTCTAAAATAGAACAGTTTTACAATTAAATAATGGAGGTTGATTTACCAGATACAAATGAGTCTATAACGGATACTAATACAGACAATACTTCTGAATGTCAAGAAGCTCATCCAGAAACTGTCCAGACAATGGATACTGAAGAGACAGTTCCTACTGATTGTAATGATAATGATGATAATGCTAAGAAACAGGATGGTTCAGAGTGTGAAGTAAGTATTTCCCTTTTTTTTTGATTACAGCTTGATGCCACACCGTATTTTCAGTACAAGTATGGAATTTTCAGCATGGATATCGGTAGCCCAAATTTTGCAGGCCGACCATAGATATCGGGTGTGTGTCGGCAGGGGATCGAACCCTGGACCATGTGCATGGTCGGCGAAACTCCTAACCACTGTGCCACCGACGCACAGGTAATAAAGGTAACCATTTCAATGGTCATTAGGTAAACCAATCGGAGTTGTTGTTAGAGATGAAACCCACAAATCTTGAGTAGACTCACAATTCATCTTGTTTATGATCAATTGATAAGCGAAAAGATAAATGTATACATGTTACCTGGCATGATTGTCTAACAATTCAATTTGCTATACAATATGTGTACGCTTATTTTAGAATAAAACACACTGGGAAAAACAAATAAATACACAAAGTAATAATAACAGTAATATCTTTCGCTGTAAAATGGTGTTGAAACGAAATAATTATTTATGGTATTATATTTTAGACGAAGTCTGTCTGTTTTTGACATAGAACTTTGCACATATGTGCGGCAGTTCAAGTCGCTACACTTCACTCAGCACACAAAGAAAGAGAAGAAAGTAGGAGAAATGCATAATATAGACAGTAAACAGAGGTGTGAGACAAAGGAATAGTAATAACGGAGAACAAAACAGTTTAATTGGAAATCATAAGTCACAAGGAGTGGATGCATCTGCACCAGCCATTGAGAACGATTTTGAGCCATGTCACCAATTGTTCTCAACCATTGGTTTTTACCGTCCCGAGGACCCCAACCAGGAAGTCTACATCTTTCTACGTGGCTTAGACTAACTGTTGTAGATTTCATTGACTGGTGCCATGTTTTGGTTTGACCACCACTGGCTAGCTCTTTTCCAGCCTGACCCTATATCAGCTAACATTGCCCATTGTCGAGGAAGGCGATGACTAGGCATACGTAACACATGTCCTAATCATCTCAGTCGATGTAGCTTCACAGCCATGTTTTTTTTAGACAAAGACAAACGATAATTTTCCACTGTGGTGGATTTATAGCCTGTAATCACTGATGCCAGCTGCCCAAATGAAATCATCCAGGTGTGGTGAAGACTTAGCTTTCGGATGATGAGTCATGGGTTTGAAACCTGCTCCATTTAGCTCAACCTGGGAAACTTGGTTATTATCAAGAGCATTCACACAATAAATGCGGCTTACAATCTGATACATGAAAAGTGTATCAGTTCTAACAACCAGGAAGTTTACTTGTTTTTTTATATAATTTAAACGCAAACTCAGACGAATTTACTATTATGGTCTCCTTCTGAGCAACTACTTTCACTCCAGACATCTTTTGTTTCAGTAGTGTTGCTATTAAGTGACTGGCATTGGAATCCAGGACGCGTGTCTTGTCCTGTGTAGGATTTGCCATCTGGATGCGTCTGTATCCCCCAGTGAGTGATGGTGCTCCCACTGCGACTTCAACTACTGAACTATATTAGTTTCATTCAGATAGTTATTCAGATGTCTGCTTCAGTTCTAGCTTCAAATGTTATAAGAGTAAGAATTACCGATTTTAAAAAAAATATTCTGATTGACTCCTCATTATTGGTTATATGGAGGGGATTTCGAACTTATAATTTAATTGTTCAGATTAAGTATCCGTATCAGTGAGTTACCATTACTAGTTATCTAAAGGTATTTTACAATCGAACTTCTCGTCGTAACACCGACCATCGCTTGATCATATAAGTGATCTGATATTAATTACACATGGAAACAATTAAAACACTAGTGGGAGTATGAGTTTTTTTGAATAGAGGCCTTTGTAGGAGTGGGTTTATGACATACCGTAACAACGACGCTTGTTGTAGCGTTTCTATGTACCTCAGCGGCACACCTCTATTACACTCAGTTCTCTGTCATCACTTTCGGTTAGCTCCACAACTGCTCACAAGCTTCACTCCCTCCTCACACGATCTGCTCTATGTCATCCTCGAAGATTTGACTTGTCACTTCCCATTCGGATTCCACTTCAGGGCCTGACCTGCATGCGGTGCCACTTGAATGTCTCCTCAGTGTATCTCCATTCCATCTCCATTTCTTTGTGCTTATTTGCTGGGTAATAAGTTCTTATCTGGTTCTATTTCTATCTAGAACTGTTTCTAAGTACTTAAATAACGTTAAATTTTACAATTCAGTTACTCGAAAGAAATTTATCATTTACCAAGCTGTAAACTACACTTAATGTATCAGGGTTGCGATAATACTCAGTTTCTCAGGCTAAGGCAGACGGGGTGGGATTTGAACCCCGGAAACCTACTAGATGGAAGTTGAGTATTTAAGCCTCTGTGTACCACTTATGTACTAACTCATGCAAAACCAAATCTAGGATGTTCAAACATTGACAGGCAGATACGTCACCATTTAACGATTACATTTGAATCTAACGGTTTATTGTTTTCTAAATTTTGCTATTTAACAATACAACAGTGTACTCCTCCTATTTTTGAACAGATAGCAATATTCATTCTCTGTATAATTACTTCCAAAGGTAAGAAAAATACTTTTAAGGTAAATCTGGTTATGAAGTGGCGTTTGTTAGTGTGAACCATTCTAAACCAACAAAACTGGGTAGCTCTTCAGGCCTTTGCCTAGGACTCTTCACCACTGAGTACCTATAACTTCATCAGGCATCAAGCCATACGCTAAGGGCGCGTCGTTATTTAAGTTTTGGGTTGTACTCCAACGGTTTATGAATCCTAACTCTGTCGACTGGCAATATGCAACCAACCAACATTACCGATTATCATTTGTCGTTATATCCAGTATTTAAAAATATATTTCTTTAATTTGCGAAATCATATAATTTTTTCTTTCCAGATCTTGTCAAATTCAGATAATAAAAAATCAACAGAAAGTCCTACTCCTACTGTGAATGTCTATCATCCTCCAGTTTGGGCTTTAAATTGTCCGCCAACTTTAAATTATAAACTGGAAGTTATTAAAAATGGTTTACAGCTAACAGAGTGTACAGTTAATCTATCATCAACGACATCTACTACTATGGATTCAGAATCATCGTGTGATGATAATAGTTTAAGCTATTGTTTAATTGGACGTCAACCACAACCATATTATGATGCATCATTCAATGATTTAGCTGGACAATGTATAACACTTGCTCATCCTTCTATAAGTCGATTACATGCTGTATTACAATATGGTAAACCACCGCATTCTGTTGGTAATGTTCCAGAAGATGAAAAAGATACCACTGGATGGTATTTAAAAGATTTGGATAGTACTCATGGTACTTTTGTTAATAAGGTTAGTTGTTTGTTTTGTTTTTTGTTTGTTATAATGTTACAGAATGAATATTCGTTCTAGTCAACACTCATCGTCCACTTGTTTCGACTGTGATAACAAACGATTTTTTTCAATTCCTTTGCTTTCCGAATGGGATATCTGACTTCATGTCTGAGCTTTTGAAGTTTTAAAATGTTATGTTACTCAGCCACCACTAGCAATTCCATGTAGTTGGCAATGAGCCACACTTATTGTTTGAAGGCCGATTATACTATTCAGGGCTGCTCAAAAGTCGAAGTGTGAGGCGTGGTTCGAACCCGCGACAGATCCATTGTAATTTGGGAACCTACACCAATGCGTCACAGCGGTGTTGTTTTTACAGGATGGGACTGCTAGCCTCCCACCCAACTTTTCCTCTTTACTGGGTTTACTACTGGCTAAGCGAGGCTTAGGAATACATTGGCAGGGATTCGAACGCGGATCACGTGTATGTGTGGCTAACATACTACCGCTGAACGATCGACGCACAGGATAATAAACGATACCGTTTCCAACTCTTTAAACGAATAGTAATCATAATCAGTTTACAGGTATTACTTTATTACATACCAGAAGACAGGAGAAAGATAATTGTAAATACTGATAAAGTATTCTTTGAGATGAGTGGTTCAATTGTGAAGTACTGTTTGTCCTTCTAGACGATATCTTCGGTGCTTAATTCATTGTGAAGTGAGTTCTGAATTCTTTATGATTACGTATAGTTGTATATACTTATCTTCTAACTGATTAGGGGGTGCAATCTGTAATTCTGTATACCTGACTGTAATCGATGTGTAACACGTCGTGACAAGATATGGAAACGGGTTTAGCTAAATTATAGTTCAAACCACATGACCTTGATAATGTCTTCAAGTACACTTAATGATCGGTTTCAATAACCTTAATCGACTTATGGCTAACGAAATTTCCACATGGATACAAAATGGTTTATCTGATTTTCTACAAACTGTATCGCACTAAGTGTACAGAAAAGATGATCCGACTACCTATTGCAGTCTTAGGTTACTACAGAGATATGAAAAAAAACGGTGAAAAATACAAAATGGTAACAGGTATAGCTGTCAAAGAATGAATTACAACTGTTGAAGTTGTATTACTTGCTTCTTTCTTTATTACCTATTTTCCAACTTTGTTCTTTATTTTTTTCCAAATCATGAAGCGACGATTACCTTCTGGCCGGTATGTTCGTATTCGTGTTGGTTATGTTTTACGCTTTGGTGGGAGTACACGTCTACATATTTTTCAAGGTCCAGATGAAGATACTGAACAAGAAACAATACAATCATGGTCTGAATTAAAAAAAGCCTATGAAGAGCGTAAATTAATGGCTCTTAAAGAAAAAATAGACACTTCAACAAATCAAAATTCACAATCTGTTAAACTTGAATGTGATTGGGGCATGTCGTGTAAGATATACCTTTTTTTCTCTGTCTTTTCTTTAATTTATGTGTAGAGTAAATAGATTAGTTATAAGAGTTTGTTTTTAATACGATATTATTTTGAGTGAGTTATTTTGCTATTCTCTTTTGGCAATTTACCTTGAATGAGTTTCCTGCAGGTCAATTCCAGGTATTTACATAACGTTGGTAATGTACTTCCTCAACATTTTGTGGGAGTCATTATTATTTTTTAAACAGGCACTGGGTTCAATACCCACACTCTGTTTACCGAGGCATATATATATATGATGAAGATTTGTAGCTCAGGTGAATGATTTGATGGATTTATGTTCCCTGAGCTGGATGATTTATTTGCGGAGCTTTCGTCGCCTTACTAAGCAACATCTTCAGCGCATACTTCAATTGGAACCGAGCTTTTAGATTTCTCCACGGGTTTATAAGTGATCTCTCCCGGTGACCTTGGGCATGATTGGTTGTTTTCGTGTGTTTTCACACCCTCTAGGCTACTTGTATTGGTACTGATTGTTTCCTTCATCTGAGGATTGACCCTTTGTGTGTGAGCTTTCCTTCTCATCGATTGGTAATTTTTGTCCATGTCAATGTGTCTACTGATTGACTATTCACTGGGATAGCAGGCAGGTTTCTTAAAATTCTCTAGCATTCTTGGTGTTTCCTCTGTCTAATATTTGAGCGTCGAAACGATATCCGTGGTTGTCTGTATGCAACGATATGACGGATTGGATGTCATGTCTTTTAACGGCTAGTTTATGATCATGGATACGAAGAAGAAGAGGACGTCCACTTTCGCCAATGTAGTGTTTTTCGCAATCGTTGCAGTTTATAATGTAGATGATGTTGGTTTTATCTTCTCTCGTTGTTGAGTCTTTTGGTTGACACAAGGCTGAGCGAAGTGATTATGTTGGTTTGTGTGCGACGTCACTTCCTAAGGGTTTGAAGAGTCTTGCAGAAAGATATCTCATGGACGTCTTCCAAAAGAATGGATATCCGCGGAACTTCATCAGAAGGCATCTACCACCGAGCCAACCTACCATATCAAAGGTCCCCAAGGAAAGCACAAAGAAATTGCCGTACCATATTTAATAAAGGAAATCTCAGAAATCACTGCAAAACTCTTCAAACCCTTAGGAATTGACGTCGCACACAAACCAACAAAATCACTTCACTTAGCCCTGTGTATATATATATATTTTATTTTGATTTACAGCTTGATTCCACACTGTATTTTCAGTACAAGTGTGGAATTTTCAGCATGGATATCGGTAGCCCAAATTCAGGCTGACCATAGATATCGGGTGTGCGCCGGCAGGGGATCGAACCCCGGACCATGTGCATGGTCGGTGAGAGTCCTAACCACTGTGCCACCGACGCATATATATAGTCATTAGTCATGCAACAATGAAGTACGAGTTGGTTCAGTGCCTACAGATGGATAGTATTCAATAGACGAATTCATAAAACTAATCGAATCCTGGTAATTATGTTTTAGGAAGTGTATTACTTAATATGAAGGATAGTCTGAAAGGGAATCAATAAGTGGGGATTGGGAACTGGAAGTTGGCAGTACGTAACCAGAATAAAGTGAATCTCTCTGAATGTAAAGATTGGAGAAGATAGTGCAGATACAGGATATTATCTAAATGAGATGTGAATGAGAGAGATTCAGTGTTATTAATAAGTAGTAATGTTAAAAATAAAACAAAAAATATGATAGGAAACTAACTGATTCGGCTGTCCGAGGTTACTCAAACCGGATGCACTATTGATAAGCTCGACCTTAAACGAGCGAAATGGTCATCAGGTGTTTAGATCACTTCGATATGGCTAACAGGCACCACTGATTCTTGTAAATGCAGTCCAAGTGATCATGTCAATCAATCAATCATTAGTACATAGCACCATGCAATCACACTTGCTTTTCTGATTGCCATTTATAGTCTCAATTAGATCACATATTGTGATCAAAATAATTTCGTTGTCTTGAGGAAACTAGTGAAATTTCACCTCGAACTGTGTAAATCACAGATTGCGAATTCGATACAAACTAAACGTCGAATATTGAAATGAAACAAAATCTCAACACTAATGTCACCCTAGCCATGGTAGAATAAGTAATTATAAGTACTGTTTTTCACCAGATGCCTGGTTTTAGGTCCCAAGTCACCAGTGATTTGACTTTGTATAGCCAACGTACTCAGAGTTGTGAGGATAACCTTGGAGCAGTCATACATATATGTCCGACATCTGGAATTGATAAGATGCTCGAGAATTACACTGGCGATATTCTTCTTTCTCTCTCCGATTAGCCGGGCTGGACAGTGTTCCGAAATATGTTTGCGGATATGACGCTATGCACGGCTGATGCACTTTGCGCTATACAGGAACATTCAAATTTATAAATGCACTTTGAGGTGGCCGGGAGCAATATCTTGTCCTTAGTGTATGACTGGACTAGCTGTCAGCTGGAGAATGTGATTCTCAAGGTAGTAGCGTAAAATGTCATTTTCAGCCACTCGAAAACATGGTTTTTGAGGATTTCGGCAACAACGTCATCTTTAAAACCCAGCTTTATGAAGAGATTTTCCTTAGGAACAGTTAACGCCTCTCATGGATTTTCAGTTACACTTTATCAATTATTATTCCGAGTAACATACATCCATAGAGAAGTTGACGTCATCTTTGTAGAGAATTGAATTTCTCACATTTTATTTGATACCAAACTCTGATACATCATTGTGGTGTACGTACATTTTTATTAATCTTAATTATATGAGTAGCATTTAAATTCTGTGTACATTACTAAATAGTTATACTAAGTAGGTAAGTATCACTTTGAAACAGTACTATAGCTTGAGTATCTTCTTATTTGTTTTTTTGTCGTTAATTCTTATTTTTATTATTCAATAAATTATCCAGTAGAAGATCCTACTCCTGAACCAATTCCAAGTCTACTTCAATCTGGTACTTGTTTAAGTCATGAAAAACTTTATCGTGATGATCCAAAACGAGCGTTGAATGCTTATTTTGAACGAGAAGGTATCGATCCTGCACCACAGTATGAATTCGTTGAAGCGCCTTTTGGTAAACAACACTGTCGAATTGAGTAAGTTATTATCTGGTATTTGATATAATTAGGATATAAAGATACATTCTTTTAAATAAACACCACTATTCTTATTATTATTGTTTCCCTGGGTTCCGAATGGAACATAGGGCTTCAACAGCACATCTCCACTTTGTTCTATTCTCTGCGGTCCTCTTTGGCTGGCACTAAGATTGCCCATAGTCTCTCATCTCTTTCTCTTAGGATCTCCTCCATGTCACCCTCCGACCAATACCGCACTCGTCGTCTCTCATTGGGCTTCCACTTGAGCGACGGCCTAGCACACAATGTCATTCGACGGTCTCCTTAGCGTGTACGCGATGCATCTCCATTCTCCTCGGCATATTTATTGAGTAGTAGGTTGTTGGTTGATTCGTTCCCAGTTTCGTGTTACAAATTCTTTGTGACCATTTGATTTTCTGTATGGAGCCAGCGAAGGTGGCAGCTGTTGATAAAAGTCTGCAGCAGGCTGTTGAAAATGCTCTTCTTGACGTGCTAGCCAAGTTTCTCACCCATTTTGTTGTTTATACTGAGGAGTGCAGAAGATTTCCAAACTGACCTCAGAGTGGTGAAAGTATGTCTTGCCTTCCTATTTCTAGTTTTGATATGCTCATCCGCGCTGTGGCCTGTAGTTGAAACGATGCTGCCTAGATAAGTGAAGGAAGTGGCCTCTTTCAAATTTCTTCCGTTGATAGTGATCGGTACTTGTTGTTGGTTGGTTATTTTCATCATCTTCGTCTTCTCCATGTTCACTTGAAGTTTTGTCTGTGCTGCTTCTTCTGCCAGTTTGTTGGTTTTCGCCTGTAAGTCTTCGAGTTTGTATGACATTAGACATAAGTCATTCACAAAATCCAGACCTTCTAGAGCCTTCTTATCTGTCCAACGTCTTCCTGTCTTCTCGCTCCCCGCGCATGATGTACCGCATAATTCAGTCCACCACAATTAACAATATCAACCATTGTTTCAGCACATATGATTATGGCTTTTTAAACCTTTTGTAATTTTTCTTCAAGAGTATATTGTCATAACCTAGTTAATAAACCAAGCTATATAATCCACACTTATCTTATGAATGATGGTGTTGTATCGAGTTGACTAGGATGAAACAGGTGAAGTGGAGCTCGGACCTGGGACCCAGTCATGGTCTGAGAGTCGAGTGATTAAGCCAATCAGTAACTTTTGTTTAGCATGAATTGAATTCCTCGTGATGTTTGAAAAAAACCTTAAACCTTGTCGGGCTAAATAGTTATTTATCCACAAAGCCAAATCTAGTTCACTATTTCTTTGTATATGTTCAAAAATGTAGCTAACTTTAGATGGTAACTCGGAAACTTAATATCAATTGGTAAGTGATGGCTAGCACTGGAATCCAAAATGAGAGTTTCGTCCCATTTGAGATTCGTTAGCTGAATGTACTTGAATCCCCAGTCAGTGATAGTGTTCTTACTGAGACTGGAACCCAGAACCCATCGTTTCCAACGCCAAAGCATTGTCAATTAGACCTTTTGGCATAGATTGTCACCTCTTATGCAATGGGTATCAACTGTCATTCGTTTAAGCTATTTTGAACTCCTCGTGGATTAACTATATTGAACCGGAACACTCGGTCCTGTGCGTCCTCGATTCCACTGCCAGGCACCACCACTCAAATGACGTATTAATCCTCAGATTTTTTTATTTTTTTTATTTTTATTTTTTTTTTTTTGATTTACAGCTTGATTCCACACCGTATTTTCAGTACAAGTATGGAATTTTCAGCATGGATATCGGTAGCCCAAATTTTGCAGGCCGACCATAGATATCGGGTGTGCGCCGGCAGGGGATCGAACCCCGGACCATGTGCATGGTCAGCGAGAGTCCTAACCACTGTGCTAGGTACCAACATGTAAACATACCATCCTGAGCATTTCTCGCCAATATAATCACTTAACGGAAAATACGAAATAAATCAGTAATCACCTTACTGATTGCAATTTTTGTTTCCTAAATATCATAGTCTCAGGCTGGCTAATTTCTCATATCTGTATGTAAGTAAATGGAACTTTATCTCAGCCATCATTGCTCATATAAATGAGTTGCGCTGTTAGATTTGTAGTGATTTAATCGTATATTTTGAAACGAATTGACATCAGTTGGAGAATTGTGAAAAGCCAGAGCACATTAGAAATCTGTTTCATCCTAATTCAGGTCTCTTCAGTCGTGCGATAGAACTACTTACCTTCAGGCGAGCACTCTGCTATTTAGCCACTCATATAAGATAAGAATTTAATCACCCATGATTTTCAGCTTTTGTTGATCGATTACATAGTGCCACTATCATAAAGAGTACAAGGGTACTTGGTAGCGAAATTGTTTATTTGTCAATATTACACAAGATGGTGGTTATATATGACAACCTTACACTGGAAAACTCATTTGGATGCAGTTTTCATGTTCTGCTCCTTTCGTATTCTATTCATGCTTTCTGTATTGGTTCACAACTTTCTTCATTTCCCTTGTTTTCAACTTCATCAGTCCCTCCTGTATTGAAAATTCTTTCAGAGGATGTCATACAATATACTACATCATCACCACACACCACCACCACATATTTTCACCAATGAGTTACTGTTTCGCTAATTTTTCGGTCCAGATTTCGGATTGCGTCATATATAACATGTTTCATCTGAAAGCAGATTTTAATCTAATATTTGAATGGGTAGCGAATATTTTGCTATGGACCCCAAGTTTGAACACCAATACCCATTATACAAGAGGTAGCCCTCGTGGCTTAGTAATCTAGTGGATAATGCTTAAGCTTTTGAAATAATGAGTGTCGGTTTCGAGTCTTGGTAGGAATACTATCAATCATCGGGAATGCGGGTACATCCAGCTGACGAATCGCAAACAACACGAAATGCTGATCCTGGATCCCACTACCAGCCACCATCAGCCAGATTGTATCACAGGTTAACTAAGATTTTTTTCGATACATCGTAATATGCTTTTGAGTAACCATGAATGTAATTTCTAAATTGAAAAGTTTTATTCCTAAATCCTTCGAGATGCAATATTCCATGCTTTTGAGAGACCATAAGTTTAGTAGATAAACACTTTTTGCTTCATTTCAAAGTATGTGAAGTGTGGTTTTAATTTGTAATCTATCTAGTCGTCGAGCATAATTTGTTTCGGGAATTTTATGCTGGTGAGTAATTGGCTAGTTTGTGACATTCCCTCATTTTTTTCTTAAAAAGAAGACTCACTTGTAAAGTGAATTCAGCCATTCAACCTCACCCTATTGATAAGTAGGTCTCAATGTGTATTCATTTATATATTCTCATATCTGATCTTATTGTTATTATTATAACTGGTTAACTGAACTCCTTCTTCGTCTTCTTCTTTTGTAGATTACCGTTAAGTTCAGGTACTGTGACAGCAGAAGCTGTTGTTTCTGGCAAACGAAAGGAGGCTGTTGTCGCATGTGCTTTAGAAGCCTGTCAACTTCTCGATCGTTTAGGTGAATTCGATCCAGATAAAGGTAGATACCTTTTAATGTATATACTGTTAATCACTTTTCATTGTGTTAAACTGATTATTGCATAACAGCGCACTATTTATTCTGTTATAATTACTATTTATGTTTGGCAGAAGAAATTTAATCTCTATGTTGTTCATACCTATTATGAACATATTTTCGATGGTAACTCCTATTCGTTTTTAACTTTACATAAAATGTTACTTCATACAGTGTTCTTGAGAAAATATGGATCACTTAATTCATCTTATCCGATATGATCTCATACTATCCTCATGATGCACGACTAGCCTTCTATTCTATAGTTGATCAAATAGAGGTTAGAGTTATTCAATCACTTAAATATCTTCAGAGCATTTCTAGTGCTTACTTAATTCATGGAATAAATAATTTTGTGGTTAAACAAACAATTCAAGACGATGAATATTAACAAGCCAGATTCAAAGGCTTCAAAAGTTCTGCAATGTCTAGAAGAGTTGAAACATGTTTTACACATCCTAAGTTCCAAGTTACATCACGGATTGACATCATTTCGAGAACCATTTAAGACAAGGAAACACTAGACAGTTGTTTCGTCCCTGTTTGCGGTTTTTAAGCAGTACACATCTATGCCCCCCCCCACCGGGAATTGAATCCGAAATCTTCAGGTTAAAAGGCAAGCCCGTTGACCATTCAGCCAATCGGACGTAATCAAATGGCGCGTAGAACGTAATTCCTGTCAATTCTCGATTTCTAGTGCAAGATTTAAAGCATCCAGTACACCGCAGTAGTTTCCAGTGGTTCTACAACTGATGTCAATCGGTAATGTGGATTAAAGCCAATCATATCCCTGCAAACAAATACTCGAAGACATTCTAAGTTACTCTATTTTGTCATGATGAATAGGATAGAGTTAATTTGAAGGAATGAAAGTTACGACCAGTTAAACCACAGCACACATTTAACGCATAAATGGCTTTCTTATTGATTGTCTTTCAAGAGAAGTAGTTATACACTGCGCTACAGTAATTTTATCGTCCCTCTTTCTCATTGTGGTGTTCCTTTGAATTCATATATATACATATATATATATATATATATATATAGGTGTTAAAACATAAGAAATTGCTTAAAAAATCTTTAAGCAATTCAACTATTGAAATCTTCAAATAAAACGGTTCATATTTTAAAGGTCTAGTTGATTATACTTCACTGTCTTGTTAGGATATTTCATTTGAACTAATTATAATGTATACAGTGTGTTAAAAAATGGAACTACATCCTTAGCATTTCCATTATGAATAATAGCTCAAATTTACTGTTTTTACAAATTATTTATCTAAATGCAGTCAGTCATCACCAGTTGAAGTCTGGTAATTATCAACCATCCAAGTGAATTCCCTAATCTTATTGACTAACCCTAATTTGATGAAAATCATAACACCATGCATGGATAAGAAAAATATTTATGTTGAATAGTAGTAGTTTTATTGAGAAGCTTTCATTGGCTTCATAGATAACACATTTTCAGCGCTAACTTCCCTCAGATTAGAGAAAATAACTACACCGAAACCATCCACTTGGGCTACAAGTCTTTTGTATAAAACTTTGCATGATGTACATGGGTTCGAGTTAGTGTCATTTTTCAACTGTAGCTTACAAAAAGTAAATCAATAGCAGACAGATTTAAAAATAACTTTTCAGATGTATGAGAAAGAATATGGTTTACTTTAGTGTGGCTTTGGAACTTAAAGTACATTAGTTTACTGCTCAGGTACAGAGTTATATCCAATGTAGTCCCGTACCATAGGAAACACTTCCAATAACATAGAATGTATAATATTAGATGGTTGGAGGCAATCGGTAGGATGCCTCGGATCTAAGTTTCATGCTAGTTGGTACTCTCCAGTCAGCAAGGCGTATTTGCAACCTTGAAGAAACTCATGTCCCTTTTGAGATTCGAATCTACGTCGCCCAGTGTTGCAGTTTGAAACTTTACCACTCAGCTATTCGGGCTCGCGATTGACGTCATTTGGGACTGTATTGGATACTTTGATTGGACACTAGTAACTAGTGTGATGTGTCTAGTCCTTTCTTTGATGCAGACTGAATTCTATCAGTCAGGTTTGCAATATGGCTAACATTCTAGGTAGCTTGCCATCACGGTGCACATTGATTTGATGATATTGGATGGTAAGTCTTGCGAACCATTACCTCCTTAAAGTAGGGATGTTGTCTGGGAGATATTTTATTCTCCTCACTTCCATGTTCATCCAGCAGTACAAATTTTCCCTTAGGCCATCATTATATTATCATAAATTGAAGCTATAGTGATGGTTAGTGCTATTTTTGTTATTTTCTGGCTGGTTATGTTGTCATTATAAAATCCTAATGAACGACTGTTTCAACCAACATAACTAAGTTAGATCATTGCTTTGTGTAAAGGCAACATCCATGTTATACCAACTGGAAAGTATTAATAATGTGGAAAAGATGTAGCCCTAAAAGACTGTTACCATTCACAAGAATGAATCAAAATCTAATCTTTATCACTGATATTCATTGAAACTAACTTGAACTTCCTATTGATTGATTTATTGCACTGAAATATCTTGGTTGTTAATGACATTTCAGGTCTTAGTAGAAACACTTCGACGATACCTTCAAGTTAATTAAATATGTATTATTTGGCGTTTAAAACGATAGGTGCTAAGTTCAATTCTCAAATGGAATACCATTACTCATTTAAGATGCAAGTACATGCAGTTGGCGAGTCACTGTGATAGGCCGAAACATAATTCTCGATTCAATGCTAGGCACCAAGATACAAATAGCCTTTATCATCTAATTTTAATGCTGGGATTTTGATGATTCTCATTGGAATTCCGTAGCAAATGATTAATCTCAATTAGCTTTTCCCATAAATTATAAGTTGAATTATTTTAAACAAAAACTTGGAGGATCTGGACTTCGCCGATGATATATGTCTGATTTCCCACAAACTGGAAGATATGCAAGCGAAAAGCAACAAGTTGACAGAAGAAGCATCAAAGATAGGACTTCAGGTAAACATAGAGAAGACAGAGGTGATGAAGATTCCTGGGCAACACCACCAACAACAACAGACAACAATCAGCATAAATGGAAGGAACCTGAAAGAAACAACCTCTTTTACCTACTTGGGAAGCATCGTTTCAACTACAGGCCAGCGGAACTGACGAGGATATCAAAGCAAGAATCGGAAAAGCAAGACAAGCACTCAGCATCAAAAAGAAGATCCGGATTTTCAACTCCAATGTGAACTCAGTGCTACTATACGGATCAGAGACTTGCACTGCGCGTCATAAAGAGCATCTCAAACAAACTACAGACGTTCATTAACAGTTGTCTTCGCTCAATACTCAAGATCAGATGGCCGGCCGGCCAGAAAAGATCAGCAACAGAGATCTCTGGGAGCGAACTAACCAAGAACCAATTGTGCAACATATAAGCAGGAATTAATGGAGATGGATTGGCCATACTCTGAGGAAACCATCAAGTGACATCACTAGACAAGCCATAGCTCGAGTGGAACTCGAAAGGAAAGCGGCGAGTTGGTCGTCAGTGCAAGGGTGACTTGGAGGAGGTCATGTGAAGAGGAGACGAAGGCGTGTAGGCAGACATGGAGCCAGGTGAAGACTCTAGCAGAGAACCGAACGCAATGGAGACGCACGGCTGAAGCCCTATGTTCCTGTAGGAATTAAAGGATACAATAATATAATAATAATTTTTTCCTTTAAATTCTATTAGATCGTTCCGGATCCTCGAAACATGTTCGATCACGTGCTTATTGGGAAGAGAATGATTATTATTCATCTGATGAAGATACATTTGTTGATCGGACGGGAATTATTGAAAAAAAGCGTTTAGATCGTATGCGTCAATTAGGCGTTAGTAATAATAATGGTGATGAAGAAAGTCAATCAAATGCTAATAAACAAGATGATTTAAAAATGAAAAGAAATGAAAAAAGGATAAGTGAAGATTCAACTATGCTTTCTATAGTAAGTTAATATTTTCTGTTGTCTTTGACTTTTATTCGTTCATTCATTCGCTCACTTTGGTGTTTAAAAGGGAAGCTTTTATCAGTACTATCAGAAATGTTAAAAAAACATAAAGAAACTGGAAGTATTTTGGTGAATGGTGACTAGTAGTTGTAGAATCTAGGATGCTCATTTCGTCCTCTTTGGGACTCGTCATCTGAATGCACCTGGATTCCCCTGTGAGTGGTGATAGTGTTACCACTGACTCTCGGACCCAGTGCCCATAGTTTCTAACGCCAAATCGGTATCCACTAGACCACTTGGGCCTCGAGAGCCATCTCTTGTGCAACGGCTATCGCTTATTATTTAATTCAATTCGGACTTTTCCGTTGATTGATTGGACCGAAGTGCTTGGCATGTGGGCTCTTTGTGCGGATGCTTCGACGATGTCTGAGGATTTAACTTGAAGTAATTTGGTGGGTGGTGACTAGCAATGGAATTCAGGATGCGCATTTTGTCCTAAATAGGACGAAAAATCCCCAGGCATCGTCGGAGCATCGTACAAGGAGCTGACATGTCAACCTGAAGTCGAGCACTTCTGTCCAATCCATCAACGGGAAAGTTTAAAGTGACTTTGAAGCTTGATTGGTGTGTGTGTGGAAAGAACTGAGTTAGCTGGAACAGATTTCTATTACATACTGGGTTATCAGCCATGCTTATTGTGTAAGGGATAATGAGGCTAACCAGTTAGTTGCTCACACTGAATTAAGTGGGATGGGATTCGAACCATAGGACTAAGTCAGTGACTGAAAGTTTGATTGCCTAAGTCAATGAGTGACATCTACATTGACTTGTATATATGTGCTGTATGCAATTATACTGTTAGACAAATTGTTTTCTCCAATTTGGAATATCTGTTGTTATTCCAGCCTTAAAAAAGTTTAATTGTTCAATTTTCGCATAGTGCTTATCCGTATACATTATAACTATGGTACCTTTCAGGTTATTTTAAGTTTCCCAGTCCCATACTGCATAGTAATAAGAACATAATAATATTCTCCAAGAAAATAAAAGACAAATTCAGCGAAGAAAATTTTCTTTATCGACGAAATCATCTTCACAGGCTGTACAGTCGTATTTATACTTACCAAAAAATATATAGTGGTCTATTATTGCGTAATAGGGGGTGACATAATTGATATAATTACTCAGAAGTGGCTTTAGAAGTGAAAATTAAAAGTTGTAAATTACGTGGTACTCAACGGCACAAAGATAGAAATTCGATAAGGTTAAAATTGCTATTGACTGAGAATAAAGGTATTTGAGTGTCAATTTAACAAGTTGAAGAGGGTGTGAAAATGTACAAAAGTAACATATGAGAGTGATAATAGTGAATTAATTATTAAAGCAGAAGCGAACTAAAAGTAAAAGAAAAAAATCGAAAAACCTTTTTAAAGGGAACGACTAGTGAAGAAATTAAAACCAAGGTAGAATAAAAGACTGGACAAACGTTTTCTGTATACAGAGTTCAGTGCTGTATTGACGAATTGCCAGCGCCTCTTCCATACACAAAAGCCGAAACCTGACGCCTTTTGTTGTACCATTTGGCTTCACTTTGTAGATGATCTTCATAGACGACTCTGGTGGAGTTACGTGACCTGAGTTCATCAAATGCTCGAGAATTGAGCTAGTAATTGTCTTGCATTTTCCCTTCGCTAACCATGCCGGATAATGTTCAGAGATCCAAGAGTAGTGACGTCACAAGTTTATCTGAAAGTTGTTCCAGAACACTTGACTAATGCTATGATTATAATCCATATTTTTTACTAACTTCCACACTTTCACCATCATCTGTTGAGGTGAAAGAGACTGATGAGGACAGATGCAGTGTTTATTAGGATGAAATACAATGTCAGCTCATGATGAAATCCTCCACGCAATCAAACAAAATCGCTACAAAACCAATACTTGAAAATTAATCTGATGCTCACTAGTGACTGGCCCTATTCAGGCAGTTAACCTGGGGTTCTAGTGGGAAGCCGTGACCAGTAGGGCACATCAGGTTGAAGATGAGGCAGTAACTCATCGAAGAAGACATTGCGAAATGGTCGCGCTATGTCGTCAATCGGCAGAAGTTAGAATTCAAGGACCATTGGATAGGGTCCCAGTGGCTCAACGGTCTACGAGCTCGCTAGCGTTGTAACCAGAAGGTCCTGGGTTCGAACCCCGGTGGGTGCGTACTGCTGAAGAGTCCCAAACTAGGACGGAGGAAACAGCTGTCCAGTACTCCCAGGTTTTCTAGTGGTTCTCTAACTGATATCACCTCATGATGAAATCCCCCATGCAATCAAACAAAATCCCTACAAAACCAATACTTGAAATACAATGTACCTCAAGGAAATCATAAACAACGTGCGTTGATGCCATAAATATTCAGATAATAATCATAACTTTCTTTTTCTTCTTCTTAGATCCTTGTCAGTGTTGTCAGCTTTCCATTGTCTCTTCTTCATTCATATACAAATTAATACTAATTTTCTGAAGGCGTTACTCGATATACTATTTATATATACTCATAAGTAGTACACGCTGCGCTGTATCGCAATGTGACTGATACTAATTAATATTTGTTTTCTAAAATAACACGTGACCTTTTATCAATAGATGAGTACGGACTGTATTGTTTTTCAAGATGATTAACTTGAATGTACTAAATCTGCATGTTCTTTTTGTGTCAGCTTTCAGAATTAGAAAAGATTGGAGAAGAGATTGTTTCAATTGAAGAAGAATTAGAAGCTATCGATCGAGGTATGCAAATGCACAATATGTACATGTTAATCTGATTTTCTTCTTCTTATTATTAGTAGTAGTAATACTATTTCTGTGCTATTATGTTACAGGAGACATTAACGGACATATATCAATGTTTTATGGTGGCTTTAACAAATGCATTTATTCCCACGTGAAGTTTTTTTAACTTAATTTATCGTACCTATTACCGTTATAGATAAATAATTCAGAAGTCGTTGTTGGTAGGGTAGTTTCATCCTTCTATGAAACTGTGGCGTTTAGTATCTCCGGTACTTGTGGTGATACTTGTCAAGTCCACTTAGGCACTCGACCTTCAACCAAATGAGTCACGAGTCTGAATCCTATTCCACCTGGTTCAACATAGGCAACCACTGGGTAGTAACACCAGTCATCACATTATAAGTACAGCCCATAGCCAGGTGCTGAGTAATTGAATTCCAACTAATTCATCTCATCACTTATTTGCTTGCAGATTGGAATTTTGTCTGCTTACACTTGTGGGCTGACTGACGGGTTTCAGCATAGAACTCTGCACAGAAGCGCAGCAGTTTGGGTTGCTACAACCCATGTATGACACAATGAAAGAACAAAAGAGAGAAAAAATGAGATTCAAAAGAACGATAATAAGTAGAATTGTATGCGAGAAAGTACAGTAAAATGGAAAAACTTCAAGGTTCACTGGATAGGAGAGATCACAAAGATTAAATACGTCTGCGCCATTAAGAGCGATTTTGAACCTTATCACCAATTCTCTCCAAACATTGATTCTTAGAATCCCAAGGATCCCAAACAGGAAGTCTACATCTCCCTACGTGACTCATACTAGTTGTCAAAGATTTCATTCGAAGTTTTGGTTCGACCACTACTAGCTCTCTTCCAACCTAATCCATCCTATGTCAGCTAACATTGCCCATTGTCGAGGAAGGTAATGGTTAGACATGCATGCACAACACATATCCTGACCATCTCGATCGATGAAACTTCACAACCTCATTGATTGATTTTCCCTCGTACCGTAACACTGGACGCTTAACCTCAACATTGCTCACCCTATTTTACCATCTAACATGGGATATAGAACGCACACATCGTGCCAGGCTTTTCATGTCTTCCACTTCCAGTTGTCATATCTCACAGCTATAAAGCAGGACGAAGCGAACTGCTGCACACTACACATACTTGTAATATTTTATCAATATGTAAATATGAACACTACTGGCCCACTGTTTGTAGTATACCTGACAAACGGATTAATATCGAATTTTTTTGTTTTTACTATCGTGTCTAATTTGTTTTTGAAAGCTAAATAAGTGATATTTTAAATTCTCATAGTCTTGTATACAAACAAGCCTTAACAGAATCATTGAATCGGGGTTTCGATTTGACCATCTTAAGAATAATACGTTGAAATACAAAATATTTATCAATTAACTTGTTTCTATGCAGCAAAGTTAATCGGCCATACACAGTACGACCTCAGTACGGTAAAATGTATTTTGAAATACTGTTCAGCTTGACTAGCCAGAGGAGAAAAGAAGCATATCAACAGTTTTATTATTAAGCAGCGTGTCAACTATGGGCATCGAACACTTTTAATTACTTCATAGAATTCGCCAATACCCCACCAGGGAGCTTCTAAGACACTGTTTAGTAGTCCACTCCTTCAAAATAAAGTTTCTACGTTGATCTATTGCTCGTCTCAGCTTTTTAGTTTCAAAGTAATAGTATGAAAAAACCTGTTGTGTTACTTTAAACTAAGTTTTTTGAATAGGTCTTTCATATTCAAGAGGAATGAGTTACACTTCTTGTGAGAGGACAGATATAGCATTATCTGGCTGTCCTTGTGCAAGTAGGTAGGACTCATGACTCAGCAAATGAAACCTGAATACTTAAGCCCGTAAGCTAAGTCAACATGAGAAAAAAACAATAGAAATTATGGGTTCCTATGATCATGTTGATACGCAATCGTTGGATAATTTTAGTCTGATGAATAAGTTTTTTAATTTTACAATTTCTTTTCTAGAGTTTTCATCGAAAGAGGCAAATCCGTCTCAACTGGATGAATTAGAAGCTTATATGAATGCATTGAAAACATGTAAGTTGGTGTCTACAAATGTATTATTATTATTATTATTACTAAACCAAAACCAAAAACTCGGTACATTATGGGCATTAGAAGATGTCCCGCACAAAATCTCATAGTTCGTGCTGGGTCTGGAATACACCTTAGTTTCCCATACCGAAGCAGGTGCTTTTCTCGAGGGGCTACCATGAGCCTTTGTCTTCAAGTCAGTGGAGCAGCGTCAAGTGCTGCACTCCCAAGGTTTCCGGAAACCTAACAGGTTCATACACCATTCAATCCTTTCGGACTGATGAGATAATATTCTTCCTCTGATTTCTTACTTACTTACTTTACTTCGGCTATCTCCTACGGGAGGATGAGCCGGTTTCATGAACATCTCGAATCATCGCTGCCCAGGCGCGGCGATCTGATGCAAGGTTTTGCGTCGTTTGTAAGAGAGTTCATGAAGTTTCATGGGAATTTGGTACGAGTGATGTCCCCAGAATCGCTCGGCCTTTTGTTTGAGAGTGCAGCTCTAGCCTTTACACAACCAAGTGTGAACTACAAGGCAGTAGGAGTAGAGTAGGGAGTCCACTATCCATTGGCAGCCGGTGACCGGAGTTCGGTTCATACGCCTTTTTGAATGGGGCCAGACATCCAGGACATCCAACAAGCCCTTTGTCCATGCGTCTGCCGGTGACCTCCAGTGAGCTTCATACGCCAGTCGTTGGAGGTTTTGAACCAGGGTTTAGCCATCTCCCCTAGACTGTCATCCAATGGACAGTCAACCCGGTGAAGAGCGCCGGGCATCCGCTTTCGCCCTCTCACTTTGGTGAAAAACACCTCCGCCACGTGAAGGCAGTGAGTAGGACTTCCTCAGGAGAGGCTATGTAAGACGCCCGGTCATATGGGAGCATTTCAAGAGGTGTACGGAGGGGTGGCCAACCCGCAGTGCAAGGCACCCACCCCCGACCATCCTGAGGCTTTGGAGGCCTCTGATTTCTTGCACGAGTCCATGTATGTATTAACAAGTTGGTTTAGCGATCTTGCAATAAATATTTTTAATAAATTAATAATTCCAAATATTTATCTTTTTTACATTCATTTATTTATTTAGCCTCATCTAATCGTGCAAAACGTTCTAAATTAAAAGCTCGTTTAATTTCACTACGTCAAACTGAACTTCAATTAATGCATCGTGCTGGACTAACACAATTTCGTAGAAATTTAAAAAAATCTAATGGACAAATCAACAATTCTGAATATATTTCATCATCAGAAGCTGCAGCAGCAGTACGAGCTGCTAAAAATAAGTTAAATAATCATAAAAATGATAGATGATGATAACACTTCAGAATGTCATGAGAACACAACTCCTACTAGTACATCTGAACAAAAGTAAGTTTACAAATTTGTGTTATACTCACTAGCCTGAAGAATAGTGCTAACTGTAGTAGAGAAGCAAGATGAGGAAGGTGATGTGAGTAAGGGAGAGTGATGCTCAGGTAGGCTTCGTGTGCTTTTGGAAGTGTGTGGGCGGTTGTTACTTCCTGGCTGCCCACACCGTGGAAGTTGGTTGAGTCTTTGGGTACCTGAAATAGAGAAAAGGTTAGTGTTGCGTGACCGCAGAGCCCAGGGGACAGCTGCTTGAGGCCGGTCACACGCGGCCTGTTTTTGTTTGTTCTTTCTTGTTTGGTGTGTCTCAATAGCATATTTATCACTTCTGCCCTGTGACACGGCAGCAGGAAGCGCGGTCCGATCCGGCATGATATTTTGTGGATTTGTTTGAATCATAGTATTGGATTGTGTAGCTGCTTTTGTCTAACCGCTATCCAAACAACCTTTCTGGCATTGTAGGACCTACAGGAACATAAGTTCCAGCCAGTGTAGCTTGTTGTGTCATTGCGATATGCAAGCCCGACCACCACGTCAAGGTAGCAGCTATCGGTCGGGTGTTATACTACTGATAAGCAAAGCTACCACACTGTCTTACATCATAAAATAGTAGTAGTGTGGTGAGACTGTCTGCTAGCTAAAATTGGTAGACAGCAATTTACGTCAATGTTTAAATCCCAAATCGTAGTCATAAGAAAAAACCAAGATCAAAGACTAACTCAACAACCATTAACAGCAGACTTTGCGTGGGTGGATACGATTCGCAGATAAATGGTCTGACCTTCAAAGAAACCGCTACCAGGAGATGACCGTTACTTTCAAAGTTATCCATATATATCTGCGAATCGTATTTGCACACGCTAAGTTTGCTGTGATCGGTTGTTGAGTTCTTCAAGGTTAGGCTTTGTTCTTGTTTCTTCTCATGACCCTGATTCAGGACGTAAACATTGACGTCAATTGTTGCTTACAATTTTGGCTTGCAGACAGCTCCCACCACAGTACTAGTCTAGGTTATCATAATTCATAATGTCTCCATATCAAGTTGAGTGTGGGAAAATGGAGTTTCAGTATTTGAAGTTTCATTAGCAATGGTGTTGTTCTTACGCGGAAATGTTACCAGCCTTACACCCAACCTTCCCTCTTCTCCGAGCTAATCATCGCCTAGTAAACTGGGAGGGGGGGGGTTGTGGGTGTGTTTGTCGGGAATCAAACCCATACCATGTGCGTGGCTGTCGATCATTCTGCGATTGGCTCATCGATTCAGAGGAATAATTCATACATAAAAATTCCTATAGTTAATCGTCATAGAATGCAAAGGAAGATGGTAATCCAAATTAAGATAATGACTAACTGTGGATACATCTAAATCACTCCAATAGATTCGGAGCTCACATAAACATAGATTTCTAACGTCACATAGACAATATCAATGGTGTCGTACATAATCCAGACATTTAGTCTATAGTATCATAAATTGACCCACCATTTTTTGTCGATATTAACTGTTATTTTCAAGAGTAGTTGCCAAATGTATCGGTTCATATCAGACTTTGACAGCAAAAAGATTTTACTCCAATTCACAGTTTACAAATTACACAGTTTAGGGGGAAATTTTACCGAATCACAATATATGGTCTGATTATTTTAGGAAATGTCAACTTTCGCCTCAAATTTTTAAAACTGTAAATTTGATTCCGCTCCCTGAGCTGAGTTGAGTACACCGCTGCTGAGCTCGACCCCAAAGAGATTGAAGTGCCTGGTATTTAGATCACTTCGATCTTGCTAGCAGGTACTACTGCTCCATGTGAGTGGTTCCCAACTACTCATATTAATCAGTAATATATACCATCATGCAAAAACTTTTCGTTGGCATTTGTAACGTTGTTTCAAGTAAGCTGACCTACTAAATCAATTACTATGATCACAACATCAAGTTGATTTAGGTGAAAAAGGAAAAGAGTAAGAAGGTAATTCGAGTTTACATATTAATGTTTCGAAATTTGAACATCTATTCCTATTCAGCAGTTGGACATATCTCCTGGAAGGAAGTCATATTCCCTTTGAAGTGTGAATTTATATCATTTTCATAGAGAAATGTAGTGCTTTATTTGTGTATTCCCTAATTTCGATGGCAGGTGGGTGAAACAAGTCTGAAACTTGGAAGGCAGATAATATTTTCATTGAGAATACAGTTCCGCCTTAATCACGAGTTTTAGAAGCATGAAACTTCAGTCAAATGCGGCTTACAAATTACAGTGTACCGACACAATCATTCAATTTTTGATTGAAACATTTTAATCTGGATTCTGCTATTATCTAACATCATTTAGATAAACGTTAGGAATCAGCTGTTTCATACTACGTATTCACGACTACGCATAATCTCACCACTTTGAGATCCAAGGACTAAACAGGTGTAGTATTCAGCCGCTAAAGTGACATTTAGTGAATCCGAACTTTGAATGCTCTGCTCATCACCTGAAGGTAGACAGATTCCATTTTATATGGATTTGGAAGTGCACACTACTCAAGAAAGCCACCTAAACTAAGGAAAAAAGAAGCCGTCCAGTACTTCCGAGTTCTCAAATAATCGTCTAAATGGTGTCGACACCTAATTGAGTTTCTATCAGCTCCTAGACGTGAACAGCTATGTTTTAATATTATGTCCAGTTTATTATTTTATTCCTTTGGTTTCCGAGTGAAGCATAAGGCTTCAAGCTTTCAGCTTTCTGTAGCAGTGGCGGGGTCCTTTTTTTACGGGATGGGGTTGCCAGCTTCACTCCAAAAACCTTTCCTCTTTGTCGATCTTACTTACTGGCTAAGCGAGGTCTACAAGTGCGTCGGCTTGAGATCATATCCAGACAACCGTTAATAATTTTGAAGAAATCTTCTTGTTGAGAATAGCAATTGTTTTCGTCTTTATATTGTTTGTCTTTTCTATATATTTCAGGATTAAAAATGCTCGAGCTGATAGAAATGCATTGAAACGCAGTTTACAGAATCATGCTAGGGTAAGTAATCTTTATTTATTCTTTTGGTTGAAAATTATTTATTTGTTTTTACTGTGATTAAGAGAGTTTGAACTCACTAGTTTATATAATAACAGTTAATTTATTCTGGAAAGGTAGGTGTTTAGAGGCAGTCAGGTGAAAGCCCTGCTTCCCGCTTACCTGTCATATTGATTCTATCAATACAACTAATACTTTCGACCATGTCAGTTGAGAGAAACTGATGATACCTCTGAGATTCCAATCTTCTTCATTTCGTGTTGCAGTCAGACACCACCTAATATCAATTCAGATTGCACTGCAATGTCGAATTACCTAGCTTGGTGACTACATTGCAAATTTAATTGATAGCTAAAGACTAGACATATGGCACTTCTTACTCTCTTAGGTAACCGACTAATGAATTCTAGAAAGTGATTTAAATGGAAATCTGGTGTTACTCAACAACAGTCGCTTGTATTTCTATGCAAATGTTGGTAAAGTATACATATTGTTTAATGGCTCTGATAATGCTATCCTTACGTAAATCTAGCGGCAGTAGTTGACCGAAAGCTGCTACCTTGACGTAATGGTCGGGCTTGAACACCGCAATGACCCAACAAGCTATACTGGCTGGAACTTATGTTCCTGTAGGTCCTACCATGCCAGAAAGGTTGTTTGGATAGTGGTTAAACTAAAAGCAGTTACCCAATCCAATCCTATGATTTCAAATAAATCACAAAATATCATGCCGGATCGGTCGTGGCCGGATTAACAACGACCGCGCTTTCTGCTGCCGTGTCACAGGGCAGAAGTGATAAGTACGCTACTGAGACACACCAAATGAAAAACAACAAATAAAAACAGGCCGTGTGTGACCGGCCTCAAGCAGCTGTCCCCTGGGCTCTGCGGTCACGTAACCAACTTCCACGGTGTGGGCAGCCGGGAAGTAACAATCGCCCTAACAAGCCGAAGTGCACGCGAAACCTCTCTAATCCTCACTCATCTTTGTCTTCATCTTCGTCTGTATTATCTTGCCTTCCTTCTACTAATGCAACTCCTCTACTTGATGGCTCTTCACTCTGTGTGCACTGAAAACGAAATGCAGACTTCCGGGTTGGGGCCCTCGGGACTCTAAGAATCAATGGCTGGAGACAATAGGTGACATGGCTCAATATCGTTGTCAATGGCGCAGATGTATTCAGTCTCTGTAATCTTTCATGTTCCTTTCTACCATGACTCATTCTGTTTCACTCCTATACTTGTCAAAACTCTACTGATTCTCTTCACTCATTTTCTTGTCTACCTTTGTGTGCTATTTGGAACGTGACAACTCGAACTGCTGCACTTTGGTGCCAAGTTCTATGTTGAATCCAGCCAAATCAATGAAACTGTGTGACATATATGTAGGAATTATTTTAAAGACATTAAACTTTACATTATCTCATAGAATTTATGTAAGAAATATGAATACTAGGCTTAATAGCGGAGGTAATCTTATGCCCTGCTATTGACTACTTGTATTGCACTAAGGATAATTTTTAAATGTACGTGACTAATTGAATCTCAGGGCATAAGATTATCCTCGAGTATTGGTTTTGCAGGGATTTGATCGATTTCAGCTGACTGATCACGAATTAACTTCAGTTAGAGAGAACCAGTGAAGACCAGGGGAGGGTTACTCTGGGCAGCGCCTTCTGATTATAAGATCATTGACCATTCAATCAGTAGGATGCACAATCCAATGGCCTATGAATTCGAACTTCTACCAATTCGGAATATACCGCGACCAGCAGCCAATGTCATTGGTGAGTATCTGCCTTCACACTCACATCGGTGGTGTACCTCCCCCTCCCCTCTGGTCACAATTTGTCACTATAAAACTTCAGGCAACTTCATCCTATAGTCAGTTCCCTAGTGACCACTAGATTAATTCAAAACTAGAATGAAACAGCTGTCAAGGTATTACTCGTTGGTTTTCAATGGTTCTCTAGCTCAAGTCACAGTTGCTGGTGATTAAAATTGATATAATTATCTTCTGTTTTGTGAATAAATGAAAGTTAACTGTCCGTTTATCAACAGACTAGCTGATCATTTAGTTTTTCTCCTGTCACTCCTAACCACATTAAATTAGAATGAGACAAGCAGGTTGTTAAATTGAGACTACTTGGTGTAGCCTTAGATTGGTAGGCTGCTACTGATATAATGAGTAATGCTTAAGGGTGAAATAAAATTCTAGGTGTCAACACGGTTTGAAATAAATTTGCAATGAACCTTCAGTTACCGTCCACCCTACATCAATCTTTCAGATAGTCTCAACTGCAAGTAGTTTAGTTGTACATATATACACACATAGGCATACTTACCGGTGACCTGAAAGCGGTATTCAATTCCGTCGACCGAGAGGTACTATAGCGATGTCTGGCGGTGAAGGGAATGCCGAGAAAATACATTGCACTGACCAATGCATTCTACTGGAACTCATGCAGCCGGATGAGAGCCTAAGGAGAGTTATCATCTGAAGTGGTGACAACCAGCGGTGTCCGTCAGGGATGCCCATTGTCCCCATTTCTGTTTAATTTCACCATAGATATACTAATGGACTTAACCCTAACTGACTTCAGCGACTCAGGGATTGACTTGTTACCACCAGAGATGATATAAGTGAAGACGCTGACAAAATGTAGTGTTCTGAACACCTTGAGGAGCAGCAATCTTCAAATGTTTGGCATGCGATTCGTTCCCGCCAAATGTAAGATGATGCTACAGAACTAGACTACATTGACTCCTAGCTTAAAGGTGGGCAAGAGTGAAGTGGTAGAGCGTGTTGACCACTTCACTTATTTGGGAAGTTGCATCAGCCAAGACCAGAGGGTTGATGGCTGACAAAATTTTAGCACGGATACAGAAGGCTTGTTTCGCATATGCCAACTTTTTCCATCCCTGGCATGGACGTGATATCCGGCTATCCACCAAAGGGCGTGTATACTGTTCAGCAGTCCGCTCCGACCTCCTTTATATCAGTAAGACATCACCATTGAAAGTGGAAGAAGAGGCTAGCTATCTTTGATCATATGTACCTGCGTTCTATCTCCCGTGTGAAGTGGTATAATAGAGTGAGCAATATTGAAGTTAGGCATCGGTCAAGTGCTAGGTAGGTGAGAGGGGAAATCAATCGATGTAGTTTCACAACTTCATCGATTGAGATGGTTAGGACATGTGTTACACATGCCTAGCGTAGCTATCGCCTTCTTCGACGGACAATATTAGCTGACTGACATAGGGTCAGGTTGGAAAATAGCTAGTGGTGATCAAACTAAAACATAGCTTCATCATTCAATGAAATCCACAACAGTTTAATCCACGTCGGGAGGTGTAAACTGTATGGTTAGGGTTCTCGAGATGGTAAAAAACACCCAGTAGCTGGAGACAAAACAGGTGTTCAGCACTTGCTGCTTTTCAATATTTCTTTTTAACTGATATTAGTCCTTGATCGGACTTGAAACCAATCAACACTTGAAAAATATATTAATGATTTTGTGATAAGCGGAAATCTCCAACAGCAGAAAGGATAATTACATGAAGAATAATAAAGGATTTAATAAATTGGGCATATCACAAGGAGTAAATCCATGTGCAAACTAACACCTGAAAATAGTTATGTATTATTATTCATATTATTATTATTATTATTATTATTATTATTATTATTATCTTCTATGTCTTCTCTTGTTCTATAGTCACTGTATGTATCTCAAAAGAAAATTGAGGTTGATAAACCTTTTGAAGTGGAAAGTGATGACGATGAGGATGAGAATGATGATGGTGATATTGATAAGAAGAAGAAGAATCATGAGCATCGTGATGAATGTGATAAAAAAGAAGAAGTTAAGAATGAAAGGATTATCACTGATGATTCCGCTGATCCTGTAAAATCAAATGATCAATCTTCTTCTTCTTCTTCCTCTTCAATTACAAATAAAAATAATGCTAAGATGAAAAAGTACACGGAACCTATTCATCATCATCAAACAACTCCACTGATTCCAACGAATGAATCAGTAGAAGATAAATTAACTACTTCATCAGATGTAAATATTACTGTAAATAATGTCAGTGTAGATGAAACCTTACAGAATATTGCTATGGAAACTAAAGAATGTAAGTTTAAAATCATTCAGTATTGTTATTGAATAATTACAGCATTTATGATTTCTTGAGTAAAAAAAGACTTTTATTATCGATTGATCCTGCTACCAAAAGAATTAGTAAGATAAATTTATTATTATTATATTGTTTCCTCGGGTTCCGAATAGAATGTAGGGTTTCAACAGCACGCCTCCACCTTGTCCTATTTTACTAAGGTCCTCGTAAGCTGGCCGCACAATTACTCATATGCTCTGATGTCCTCCGTGTCGCCCTCCGACGTTCCGCTCGTCGTTTCCTATTCGGGTTCTCCTCGAGTGACGGTCTGGCGCACAGTGTCATTCGATGGTCTCCTTGGCGTGTACGCGATCCATCTCCATTTGCTTCGGCATATTTATTGAGCGATAGGTTCTGCCACGGAGTGCAGAAGATTTCCAAACTGATCTCAGAGTGGTGAAGGTATGTCTTGCCTTTCCAATTCTAGTTTTGACATGCTCATCCGCGCTGTGGCCTGTAGTTGAAACGATACTGCCTAGATAAGTGAAGGAAGTGGCCTCTTTCAGATTTCTTCTGTTGATAGTGATCGGTACTTGTTGGTTGTCTTCATCACCTCCGTCTTCTCTATGTTCACTTGAAGTGTTGTCTGTGCTGCTTCTTCTGCCAGTTTTTTGCTTTTCCTCGGTAATTCTTCGCGTGTGATATTAGACATAAATCACATCCACGAAATCCAGATCTTCTATAGCATTCTTATTGATCCAGCGTATTCCTGTTTCCTCGCTCCCCGCGCATGGTGTGCCGCATAATCCAGTCCATCAGAATTAGAAATATCTTTGGTGACAGTAGACAGCCTTGTCTTAGCCCTGTATTCACTTCAAAGGCTTTGCTGAGTTTTCCGTTGTGAATCACCTGACACATGGCCTTGTTATACAGCTGTTGATTGAGGTTGATACAGATTTGGGGCACACCATAGTTGTTGAAGTAGTTTCGAAATTATTTAGCGGGAAGTGCTGTTGAAGACCTTTCCAAAGTCGATGAAGTTGTGGTAAAGAGAGTGGGCTACGATTCTATGCTCTGTTCTTCGATGATGATGATTGCTTTGAAATGCTTTTAGCACTGCACATATACAATATCCCACACAGGATGAACATCAACCTAAATAGATGGTTATATATCACCTTCCAATGTGAGTATTAGCTGTCTAGTGACTTTAAATTCATTCCAATATGTGATGTAAAGCAATACATTATTCGTTAACATCAACGGATATAACTGTCCCTTGATGTGGTTGTGTTCTGTGAGCTGATTGGTTTAATTGCAAAGCTTTTATTGTTGTTTTTTTTCAATACACTTCTCCATGAATGATATAACTATCTCATCTGATAACTGTAATTAGTTGCCTTCATAGGTTTTCTTATCCTTATGTTCATCCTTATGGATATCGGTCGTCGTTTCGTGGATCTGGTTTTCTAACTTTCTTCTGTAGGGTCTTTTTTGTTTCTTCAACTGATAAACTTGATTTATGTCAACATATCTATTTGAAAGAAGATTCGTCTGAGTACTAGACTTCTAGGAATTCTCTGGGATTTTTCGGGGTTTCGACTGTTTAAGACCTCTCCAGTTCAATTGGTGTCGACAGTTATTATTTGAATATCCTATCAGCGGATAAATCCTTATTGTTGTATTCATTTTATTCTCCACATTGTAGTATTTACGTTACAATATCAGGGAATTAAGTTTTAAATTGTTTGTTTGTTTGTGTGTGTGCATTTAGACAGTTATTCATTGAGGAAACTCACTTGAGTTCGCACTATATGATAAGTTGGCAGAATTCTGAAAACAAGAGCATAATTCCATAGTAATATTTTATATATTAGTATGGGATTACATACTACCATAGTGTTCAATGTTTACACTTATATGGATTAAAATTTACTGATGATCCAGATACTGTGGAGTACCATTTTATTCACTTCAGATCAGTCTTCTTCAATGGACTGCTGTCAGACAGTCGAATAACTCAAACTGCCTGTCTTATTATCTTTCTTTCCCACTACTTTTTTCTCTTTTGTTGAAGCTGATAACAAGAAGCAGCCAACAGCTAAAGTCAAAGGACCAACTTTACCTCCACAAGAATCACAGAAACCAAGTGTAAGTTGATTTTCTGTTTTGTTTTTCCCTCGTAACTAATCGTGTATTGATGATACCAAGTTTTGATTGTTGAAAATTTATTCTCCAATGGATTGAACTAAACTATGCATCAGGCTCCTTGATCATTTACATTAATTCGCTGACTGATGTAAATTCGTGATGAAGTCCACCTTTGGAATTCAGTTGAATCCAATCAACACTTTTGACAATCTATTTTAATGAAGTAGAATTAGTTTAACAAATAATTAAGGATGGTTAGACAAGAACACAAGGCCAGTTTATGAAGTCGTTGCCATTGTCCTGAGTCAAGTAGGAAAATGTAGTTTTTCTCAGGATGTTGGTAGTCACTGGTGGTGTGCACGCTCTCGATGACGGTGTGATGACAGTGTATCCATTCTTTTTTTTGTCTCTACGTTACTGTAAAACTTCACTAATTTTTATCATCTAGTTATCCTCTTCGGAATTTCTCTTTGTGTTTCACATTGTTTTTCCGAAGTGTTACAAACTGAACTGATGCACACTTATGTACAGTGGTGTACACATTTATCAATTAGCCAGTAGTTGACATAATAGATCTTATTGTGATTAGATGTCGACCATGTCTTCAGTCTCCTTATTATACACTCAGTAATCCCAGATTAAATTTATGTATTTATAATAACTTGATTATAAGAAACACGTAGTATGTTTAAGCGTCGTGTTAATGTCTGGGTTGATAAAGTTGAAGCAGTGTGGGCGTGCGACGCTTTACTTGAACTAATTTTCAAGTATTGGTTTTGTAGGCAATTTTGTTTGATTGGTTGGAGGATTTCATCATGAGCTGACATCAGTTAGAGAAAACCTGGGAGTACTGGACAGCTGTTTCGGATCCCAGTGGCTTAATGGTCTACCAGCTCACCTTGTAACCAGGAGGTCCTGGGTTCGAACCCCGGTGGGTGCGTACTGCTGAAGAGTCCCAAGCTAGGAAGGAACTGCCGTCCAGTACTCCCTGCTGAATTCCTGCTCATGATGAAATCCTCCAACCAACTGAACTAATTTTAACTATTGTATTTCTTCTTTCTATTTGTTTCTTTCGTGAATAGTAGTTAAAATTTTGTCTACTTTTTGGCTAAATACCTTTAGGAAATGACTGTTGACCAGTTAAGCCGTGGTTCAAACGTCTCTTCACCTACATTGATCCTCTATAAATCTTAATTATACTGAATTAAAGGAGAAAAGCAGGTTGTTACTTTGTGATGAAACTATCTGAGATGGCCTAGATGACCAGCTACTGTGATGATACACTGATAGCAACTTTTATTAGCATGACAGCTGGACACTACCCATGAAGATCGCTGGTTAACACATTTCAGCTGTTAGAGTACCTACCAGAATAGTTGTCTCGAGACTGGTAGTCGGTTAACCAGGTTGTTATTTCATCTTCAATCATCAACAGTAGTCTACCGTCCTGAAGCTATCTCAAACGGTGTAACGGGAGAAGATAAGAGAATTAGTAACACATTTTTTCAGAAAGTCATCAAATCATATTTATACAGCCTTAGCCACATTGAACTTCGGCTAGATCAGAGGAGAATAAACTGCTTTGATTGATTGGCAGTTGGCCCAAAGTTAAACAAGTCGTCCAATGAGGTTATTTCATGTCCACAATGTAAACTAAATCCAGATTTGAGGAATAGACACTTCTACACCTCTGCAGCCATTGACTTAAAATGATGACTTCAATTTTGGCCGCTTCCTATCAATCTGCATCACGCCACAAGTTTGATTATTAGTTTATTATAATAATAGGTGGAATTTCCGGTAAATAAAAATCTCCAGTAATCGTACGGTTAGCATTTTATGATGCACCTTACTATTATCTTTTGGACGATGAGACATTGGGCATATATATGTATATTCTTTTCAGTAACATAAAGAAAGGCGTAGTTTAGAAATCGTTCAACACAGTATTTGCTAGATTCTGTTTTGATAATTTCAATATTTTGTGTGTTTTTTTAAAGTAATCTGATGTAGCTTCTTACATAACTTCATTGTATTTCTTTTGCTTTCATTGATAAATATTTACAGAAACAGGAAGTCAATAGGAAGACTAAGGCATTACTAGAAACTGATCCAGATTATGTGGAATGGGTTCCTCCAGCAGGTTAGTTGTAAATATTGTCTGGTATTCAATATTAGACATCTAAACATTCAAATGTTATCAATGAATCATGAGTATTTTTTCCAACAGGATGAATAGTGTTTAAATTGATTGATCATTCGAGGGGGGAATTATGGTTCTAGCCCTTAGTGTTGGTGCTGACTGAATTCTGTCAGTAAAATCTGTAATGTACTCGCCATTGTGGTGATTTTTGGATTGATATTAATTAGGTGGTTGGAGGTCTTGTGCGTTATTAGTGTGTATCTGCAACCTCACATCAACTGATGACAACTCGAAAATTCAAATTCGCGTCACCCAGTGCTCCAGTAAAAGACGTTCGCGCTCACCATTGACCTCCTATAGAACTATGGTGGACACATTATTTCATCACTAAGCGGTAAGCAATGTGTCTAGTCGTTAATTTTGGCGCTGATTGAATTTCCCTGTTAAGCTGTGCAAACCTTGTTAGATAGAGTGGGATTCATATCCATAACCTACTGGTTAAAAATTGAATACCTAATTCAGTCCACTATGGTGCCTAAGTAGTACCACTTTTTTTAAATTCCTTTACGTTCCCAGTGGAACATAGAGCTTCAAGCTACAGGCTTGAAGTTTCCATAGCAGTGGTGTTTATTTTTACAGGATGGGGTTGCTAGCCTCATGCTCAACCTTCCCTCTTTACCAGTCTTATTACTGACTTGGCGAGGTAAAGGAGTGCGTCGGCCGGGTTTCGAAGCCCAGACCACATGCGTGGTAGGGGAGCATTCTACCACTGTGCCACCGACGCACCAAGTAGCACCACAGTCCTTATTTATTATTTCGAATAATAATAGTGATAATAATAAACACCTCAGCATTAATTAACTTCAAAATGAATTTCCAGTGAGATTTGGCTCATAGTCGAGAATGATGAGGATAGTTACAAACCCGTTGGGCATTAAATGCAGGTGACGCTATATCACTTTTTATCAGAAAAAGAAATTTCATGGACTGTTGAATGCGCTACTACTACTCAGTGACTAAATGTTAAACTTGCTCACCTCTTTAGTGTGAAGGTCGTGGTCTCGCTTCCTGGAAGGATTATAAATGTGCACTCTTGAAGAGTGTCATACTAGGACAAAACAACAACTGTCCGCTACTCATATCATCCTAAACATTCAATAATAACTATTATTATCTGTTAGCTTTAAGAATTCATTAATTATTTTTGTCTTCATTACTCTTTTCAAACTTTAGATCAACGTGGAGATGGCATCACTGCTTTAAATGCTAAATATGGATATTAAATGGAAAAGTTGTCAATAATGATTTCAAACTACCATGTATCAAATTTATTTGCCTTTTCAGAAAACTAATCCTTTTATGCTACTCTGAAAACAAACAAACAATCAAAAAATTGAATTTGTAAATTCATCAAACTATGAAATAATGTTTGTTTGTGTGTGTACATATCACTTTCCTTGAATAATTTTGAAAAATAATCAGTATTTTGAAATCAGTTAAGATTTTATTTTCATAGACTATCCATCGTAGAATAAAGGATTGGAAATGAATGAAAGAATATGCTTTAGAAACATTTTTCACCCTCGACCAGTAGCACTTTTATATCACAGTTAAAAATTACGTAATATATTGAGTAATGACTACTTCAGTAACTCAATCAATATTAGACATTCAGGTATTCTTGCTTACTAACATTGCATGTTGAGCGTTAAATGTACTTTGATTGGACACTAGTGATGTGCCTAGTCCTTTCTTTGGTGCAGACTGAATTCTGTGAGTCAGGTTTGCAATGTGGCCACCATTTTAGGTATCTCGCCATCACGGTGCACAGTGATTTTATGATATTAGATAGTTGGAGGTAATCAGCAGGAAGCCTTCAACCTTGGTTTCGTGTCTGTTGACTCTCACCAGTCAAAAAGGAGTACCTGCAATCTTGAAGGAACTTATGTCCCCTCTGACATTCGAACCCATGTCACGCACTGCTCCCTCAGACACGTTACCACTGAGCTATTATTCAGTGGCCACATCGCCAACATGACTGATAGGATTCAGTCTGCACCAAACAAAGGACTAGACACATTACGCCAGTTACTAACTAGTGTTCAACCAAAGTATCCATTACAGTCAGTCCTACAGGACGAAAATCGCGAGCCAGAATAGCTCAGTGGTAACGTCTCTAACTGCAGTGGGTGGCGCTGGTTCGAATCTCAGAAGGGACATAACTTCCTTCAAGGTTACAGATACACCTTGCTGGCGAGTGTTTACTAGCACGAAACCTACGTTGAAGGCTTCCTGCCGATTTTCTCCAACCATCCAGTATCATCGAACGTTAAATGTATCAAAATAACCTGAGATTTTACTGTACCTAAGGTCCAGCATAAAAAGGCAAGACAGTCAACAATTATTTTAAGTAATTTACTGCAGAATACACTTTACTTGTTATGGTAATTCCACGTCTACGTCTTTTTTCAAGAACTACCAGAAAATGTTATTTAACGATAAACTGTTGTATAACAGAGGAGCTTTTTTTCTTAGAGAACAGTTATGTTGGAGAACAGTAAGGGGAGTTTTATGAGTCAGTTACTTTTCTCAACACCACACCACCTTGTCATCTTTTTGTTTCTTACTTATATCATTGTGTTTTGTAAACATCAATAACCATTGATAGCTGTGAATATGTATACACCATATTTTATAATTTGACATATTGGTGATACCTGTAAACTGGCGTCCCTCATTCGCATACAGTTGACAGTAAATCACCATTACTGAGCAACTGACCTGACACTAAGTGCTAGAAAAGCATACTGACTTGTATTAGGAATGTCTTCCAACTGCTGTCGGTTACGACAGTAAACAATGCGTTAGAATTCATAGGCCACTCTGGATCCCATCTCAGGGGCTGAATGATTGACTGCCTCCACCTCGTAATCTGAATGTCCTGGGTTCGATCTCTGCCAGGGGTAATGGATGCGTACCACTGAAGAGCCTTAAGGTAGGCAGATTAGTTGTCCAGTACTAGCTGGTGGTCCTCTAAGTGATCTCAGTTCATGATCTAACTTGAAATTAATTCGATTTAGTTTGAGGTTTAAGAGACGTTTATTATTTACAGTGTTAACAGTTGTCGACTATGATTTTTCTCCTTGGTAAGTTCACTTATCCATTAATCAACGAAATAACAAAGCTAACTGAATTAGTCTGTAGCGAATCGATTCAATTGAATCAGTGCTATAGAATGAACGGACAGAATGAACTTAGTGGTAGGAATATGAAAGTCCCAACCTATAATACGTAGTTATTTCAATGGCATAATTCTGAGGAGCTGTAGATTGGCATAGAACGCTTACTTAGTGATTGTTGGTTGCACAGTGCTTCGAATGGTGTTGACATTAAGTGTAGACCTTGGTATCAACAGCTTAGTTGACAACTAATGGGATTATGCCATGTACCAAAAGTAAAGCTGATTAAATTTATGAGTTAGTCAAATTTACCAAGTTATAGAATAGCGACCTAATGGAATGGACACACTACTAACTGTGAAACGAGCAAACACAACAAGTTAATGAAATCATATTCATGAAAAATTGAGAAAAGAACTGTAAGAATATCAGGTTAGATTAGGGTTGAGTTACCGACCTAAATTTGTATTTCGCTTGTTAGGGTGCGTCGGTTCCCCTAGGGAAGAGATTTTTTTAATTTGGCGTCAAATTTTCGCTGTACAAAATCGCTCGGTGCTATTAATCTGCTAAATGTGTTACTCAAAACATTTATTGACTAATTACACTATAGCTGCATTGATTGTTTCCCGTGCTTCTATAGCTGATAACTAACAACACCAGCATAGAAAAGTGCCCCTCCCGAATTATTATTAGAAGCGTTATATAAAGTCCGATTATAAAAATAAGAAAATAATATTTATTGATTTTTTTCGAAAAGGATCATGTTTATAAAATACTCTAATCAGGGGGTAAACAACTATCTTCAACAATTCCAGTTCTTGGATAATAAACTTTAAATGTATAACTATTTTGACGACGTTTTGATGTACTCGAAAATTGAATATGACCAAATCGACCAGGATTAATAAATCGGCAATTACCAGTAGTAACAAGACCAGGTTCTGAGGCATTCAAATCAGCTAAAGGTTCTGGTTCTATAGCAACTACTAGATTAGGCAAAGGATGTAAGCCTAAAGCTTGATCATGATACCAATATACAGGAGCTATATGACCTAAAACTGGTAGGAGATGAGCTTGACTTGCTAAACAACGTGCCAAACATTGACCTAAATGCTCGAAAGGGGTTTTATCAGTTTTTGCAGTTGTTTTTGATTTAACTGACTGTGCACCACCATCAACAGTTGTACTATCCATGTCAATTACCTGGAGGAAGAAGAGAATAAACATACTCTGTATTTAAGATAACATGCTTTAATGTTAAATGCAGAACTGAAAAAATTCTTTTAAATCACCGAGCTAATCATGGAGATTTCTCAATTTCATTACAAGAGCATGTGTACACATTGATTTACAGCAGCACTGAACATTTCCAAAATAAACACACTCATACTATGGCGCTTAATACTGACAAGAATTTGCATGTTGTATATCAGTGATGTCTTCTCTAGGAACTTTTATAAATAGCTCATAAAATGTTATCATTCGGAATACATATGTGACAATCCGGAAATAAACAAAGTGGAAGTTACTCTCTTTGATCAAAGTCGTTTCTTCAAAAAAGGCTGTAACTTTACCTTCGATAAAAGAGACGTTTGTCAGTTTTTAGAACTGTCTCAGAGATTGAACTCTTGTTAAAATATCTGAAAATCGAAGTCGCCCACGCTAGTGAATCAAGATCAAAATTTTCCTAATCTAAGTAGGAGAGAGTCGGTGATTGAGTACTAGAATGCTTGCCAACCACGTAACTTAGTCTAGTGTTTGATTCCCAACCGATGGCACTTCTAAACTTCACTTAGCCGGTGCTAAGCCCGATAAAGACGTAAATTTCGGCGTAAAGATATCAATCTTATCCTGTGGAAATAAAACCATCGCTAGTGAATGTAAGTGTAGAACTTGGGCACTGTAATGGAATATGATTCCATATTAGATAAGTTTATTTCAAATATCACACAATGATGCATTGTTCATAACTGGATGACACTTCAAGCAGAATTCATTGCTCATAATCATATCAATTAGTCAAGCAGCTTCATATGTATGTATATCCCTTGCTATTTGTTGCCACTTTCCGTATCTCCAGCATAGACGTTGCATCATTTCAACTGCACGTGTGCAGAGTTGATCAATAGATACGAAATACAGTATACTGTCGATATCATATATTTTCAATACGTATTATCACAATTAAGGCATAAATGCGTTTACACTGCTAATATTAGCCCTTAGCTATAATATGCAAACAGTATACACTTCATCCTAAGGTTGACTGATATTCAGTGACTGTACGGAATAATGAATTGTCTTGATCCGGTTATCCTCAGCTTTGCTTCTAACTTATTCTTATTCCTGCTGATGTAGACACTGCGTAAGGGTATGTAAAATGAATTCCTAAAAACTTCAAGATCTTTCCCACATTACCCTAGTGGTGATTTCACCAAAGGAGGAATAGTGCTAAGAAGGTAATGTTCATTGAATACTTGGAGTTTTTACAGATCTTGTATCTTTATCAACTACGTTTCACAGCCATTCAGTGAGAAGACGTGTACTGCCGCGAAGCCACTAAGACTGATACAACTATTCAAATAAGTAGGATATTCGACGCAATCAAACACTACTTTAGTCATTTTCTTACGGGTTAAGGTATTAGCGTGAACTAGTCATAAAGTACCAATTTACGCATCACAAGCACTCTAATATTGTAGCTAGACATGTTTCGGGAACTCTGCTTCTTGTTATTGTCCTTATCTAATAGGATTATATTGCCTGTGGTGAAAGCTGAAGCATATACAGAGTCTCCTGGGAAAATGTCCTTTTTAGGGAAGATACAACAGGCAACAAGAGTGAATGAAAATAGAGTAGACTTCCTTTATTGTTGTCAGTCTGCGTATATATCTCAAAAGGAGGCTTTCTATGAGCTTTATTCAGACAATGGATATACAAATATAGATTTTCTTAAGATATACTTCTCTTCCGACTAAAGACGTTGCCATCATTTAAATCCTAAACAGTTAGATTTTAGCTCCGTTCAATGTAAGGCAACCCACCGTCAAGAGCGATCATCATTTTCTAGACACAATCCATTAAACAATGTGTTTGGCTAACGTCCAAATTGAATGGATCTTGAGTATAGAAGAGTTTTTGCCTCAATATTGAAAAATGATTAAATTTGGAATGTTATGTTAATTGGTGTAAAATTACCTCGAAAAAGAAAATCAAATCCGAAAATCACATTAATCCAGTAGGTCATCATCAGCTGCTGACTGGTTTAACCCCCGCCCCCCCCCCCGGGGCGGATGAAATAAGATCTGAATTTTTGACAAATGTAAAGTCAGTGACTTCATACGTCACCTGCTGAAAACTTTCATCAACACCTACCTAGCTTCGCTCCATAGTGAAGATTAGATGGCCGATCGGACACCAGAAACCCTCTCTGGTAACAGATCAGCTAAAAAAGTATCGCTCAATACATATGCGGAGGGAAATGCAGATGGATTAGACATACGCCGAGGAGACATTTAAGTGACATCACACACGCTAGACTCCAGTAAAACATGTATGGGAAGCGACGGCCTAGCTGTTTCAGGTTGGAATACATTTAGTCATATGAGAATTAAATAAAAGGTTGTGGGCATTGGTGAAGCCAGTTGAAAGTATAGCGGAGCTGAAGGCTTTGGTTCTACTCAGAGCGCAAGAAATGAATCATAACAATAACTGGATAAAGCCTTTGGGATGGTCAGAGATTCAATGTATCATGGTCTAAAATCCTTTATAACGCTGCAGATATATTACATCCTCATCATATCGCGAATTCATAACAAGTTCACTACTTTTCAGTAAGATATCCTCTCTCGTAAGCATATTTATCTGCTATGCAACATTTTGAGCACACGTTTCCTGGACCATATAGCATTTTACATGAGCAATTTCAGATTCTCTTGTGTGGGCAGATGAGAAGTGTGCACTAGTCACACGCTTTCGATAAAACACATCCGTAAAGCTTTATCGAAGTGGTCAACATAAAACAAAAATCGACAACATTTAAACACTGACACATTATTCTTACCTCAGAATTCTCAGTTGCAACTGAATCTTCTACAGTTGCCTTTGTTTCAGTATGAGAATCGAATGTGTTTATTGTAGGCAAGTGAACACAATGCCGAACCAATAGTCGACTGTAATTTACACGGAAAATCACTATTTCACGTGTATATACACGTAAACGACATGGATTTGAAGCTAAATGCAACCATGATGGACAAGTCGATGAAGATGAACGATTTCCATCATTGGAAATCAAGTCGATCGATAAACCAGGACGTGGTAAAATATATTTTGGAGCATAGACAGGATCTTCTGGACCAGGAATTAATATCAGCGCTGGTGATCGATTCGATTCAGAAGTATTTTGAGAGTCTGTATCTGGAAAGTTGTTCTTGAAAATTGTGATTAACTGTCGTAATAGCCTTTTTAGAATTATTCTCTAGTTTAAAGATAGAAAATATTATAAATCCTTTAGAATCAGTAAAAAAAAAATCCAATCGATTGTATCGAAAAGAAAATCCTTCATAAAATAAACAATGATGAATGAATACTAATACTATCCTACGATCTGATTTAGTCGACAGCTGAAAATGTTTGAAATATGTCCGGCAAAAAACAAATGTAAGACGATACCATAGAATTGGTATGTATTAACTTTAAGTTTATACAGCAAAATAGCTGGATACCTGTATTCTAGAGTCAATAATCACCTACTGTATAGGATGAGTACATTGTTCAGTGACTGACTAGTTTCAACGTAGAACTTTGTACAGATGTGCAGCAGTTCTAGTTGCCACACACCCTCCTTGTACCACAAAAAGCAAGCGAAGAGAGACTCAAAATAGAGGTAATAAACAGAAGTGTGAAGAAAAAGGAATAGTAATATGCAAAAACAATAGAATTTTACTGGATATTCTAAATCATAAGGAGTGAAAGCATCTGCACCATTCACTAATAAAGATTTTGAGTCATACCAATAATTATCTCCAGTCTTCATTGGTTCTCACCATCCCGAGGACCCCAACCAGGAAGTCTAAATCTCCCGATGTGACGGGCTTAAACTAACTGTTGTGGATTTCACTGACTCATGAGGCCATGCTTTGGTTTGACTACCACTAGCTCTTTTCCCACCAGATCAATCTTAATTCAGCTAACATTGCCCATCGGTCGAGGAAGGTGGTGGCCAAACATACCTGCGTAACACATATCCTAACCATCCCGATCGGTGTAACTTAGCAACCTCGTCGATTGATTTCTCCTCTTTACCTAGCACTCGACCGATGCCTCACCTCAATATTACTAACCCTATAATACCACCAAAGACTGGAGACAGAACGTAGACACCTATGATCAAAGACAGCCAGCCGGCCTTTCCATGTCTTATACTTTCAATGGCCATGTCTCACATTGTTCAGTGGTACGTTTCGTCCAACTTTAAGGTTACAAGATACTCCTGTTAAATGCACAAAATGGTATGACTCCTGAACAGTGGAAACACATCTTAATTAATGTTGAATGGTGCATAAAACGGGCACGTAAATCAATGTGATTGTTGGTTTCTATAGATTCAGTTGACTATGGTGGATGTTATTGCATGCTGAAACACCGCTTCCGTATGTATTGTTTTCGAATATGGCAACTGATGCGATTTTGTGCACCCTTCTACAATGATTTATCTGCTTCATTAATGTGACAAATACTTAAAATATTATAAAATGCTTACAACTACCATTTTCTTTCGGAAATTGTAATGCTGATTAACCATGAAGCTAATTAACACCATCGTTACTGTTTAAACTGAATTCCTGGAACAAGTCTTTTAAATTCCAGGCTACGATGCACACTTATTGTGTGACGGCTGGTGACCAGGCTTAAGTAGATGGATCGGGATTCGAACTCCAGACCCACTAACTTAAAGTCGAGTACTTAAGACAGTAAGCCACAGCCCCATTATTACCAAGACTTGTAAAACAGAACGAAGAATTCTTTGACTGGACACCGACTAGTGTTATGCTTCTAGTCCTTTTGTTGCTGCAGACTGGAATCTATCAGTCAAGTTTGTAATGTGGCCACCATGCTAGGTGGCTAGCCATCAAGATACACTTTGAATCGCCGATATTAGATTGTTGGAGGCAGTCGGCAAGAAGCCTTCGATCTAGGATTCGTGCCTGTTGCCACTTACCAGTCAGAAAGGAGTAACTGCAATCTTGAAGGAACCCATGTCCCTTCTGGGATCCGAGCACGAACGTCTCTGACTGCAGCACTGCGTGACATGGGTTCGAATCTCAGAAGGGATATGAGTTCCTTCAAGATTGCAGATACACCTTTTTACTGGTGAGTGGCAACAAACACGAATCCTAGGTCTAAGGCTTTCTTCCGCCTGCCTCCAACCATCTAAGATTTAAGAATAGCTGAAATAACTTTCCGTGTAGAAAAGATATATAAAAGTCATTATAATAATAACAAGAATAATTTCAATTGTTAAACTTCATCACGAACCAAAACCAGTTACAGAGGTCATTGAAAGTCTGGGAGCAATGGACAGCCGTTTCATCCTATTGTGGGACTCTTCATCAGTGAGCACCCACGACCCTACCAGGGATCGAACCAGAGAGATCAAGCTCATTGACCATTCAGCCACTTGCGCCTGGTTTTGACCGATCACTCCAGCTGATGTTATTTCGTGACGAAATCTAACAAGTGAAATTAATCTAAATCCCTACAAATCCCATAATCTGTACATTAATAATAATAAAAATAATCATAATAATAGTAATAATAATAACTTAGATCACTGTGAGATGATATAAATTTCCCAATAGACTGGAATATGTTTGGAACTTGGTACTCATGATGAACAGTCAAATACTTGTAAAAAAAATAGATGATAAATCTAAATAGCCTAGAATAACATATTGGATAATCTCTAAACTATTCATACAACAGTAAATGTGATAAAATAACCGCCAACTTTACAGGCAAGTATCATTTCGCATTATGAATGTAATGGAAAAAGTTAGGATTCACAGATCAACCTGGTGGCTGGACGGTCACTTCATAACCTGAAGAACAGAAGGGTTCACTTCTAGGTGGAGCGTCTTTGATGTGCATTGCTGAATACTCACAAGCTAGAACGAAAGAACTGCCCAGTGATGTATGGTTTTTAATGACTCTTTAACTTATGTCGGTTCGTGACGAAATCTATACTGAAGTTAAATGACAATCCCTATAAACACAAGGTACTCCATCAACGAAGTTTAGCTGCGGACATTTAGTCTAGGTATTCGACTATCAGTTTTAGTGGATTGTAAATCCAATTCCTGCCTAGTACCAACGTAGCTAGAAGAAACTGATTACTATTAGTAGCATTTACACATTAGTCAACAGATGCTGTCTGATACATTTATTTATATGTAGAAGTTAGAATTCATGGGCCATTGAGTTGGGTCCCAATGTTTGAATTGTCTATGAGCTCGCCTTGTAATCAGAAGGTCCTGGGTTCGAACCCCAGTGGTTGCGTACTGTGAAGAGTACCAAACTAGGATGAAACAGCTGTCCCAGTACTCCCAGGTTTTCTAATGGCTCTCTAACTGATATCAGCTCGTGATGAAATCCTCCAACCGATCAAACAAAATCCCTACAAAACCAAAACTTGAAAACTCAAAATAATTGTTTCGACAAATAAAAAAGAATGCCCATAGCACAAGAGAGGTAGTCTTCATGATTAGATGGTCCTGTGAATAACATTTTCGTGTTTGAAACGATGGGTGCTGTGTTCCACTCTCAATGGGAGCACCATTACCCACTAGATATGCAAGCAACTCCATCTGAAGAGCCTCCAGTAGGACGAAACTCGTGTCTACTTCTCAACTCAACATTATTACTTGATTGTAGTAAACTTACACGTTCAGTGCATGTTTTTCCAGCAGAATCTGGACTTAAAAAATTTCCGCTTAGAATAAATGCAACTGGAGCACATGCTGTATAACCACCGAATAAGGTGGTTAAACGATCCAATGTTTCTGCTCTATCAAGATGTGTTTCACCAAGAATTACTAGCATAGCATCTGAACCAGCCTAAAAATATAAATAAAAATTAGTATAAATTTAATAAGGCATTAATAATAGAATTTTATAGCCAAAAGTGTATAAAATTATAATAGTAAGTAATAAGTATTGCTAACAGCGAAGGTATCTCCACAATGACCATGATTTAACGACTGATGTGACTGACTGAGTTCCAACATAGAGCTTCACATTGGTTAGATCACAAAGCAGCGCATTACTTCGAGTACATTCATTCAACATTAGAATTCAATGACAATTATAGTTGAACAATTGACACTAACGACAAGTAATGCAATTCAATGCGATTCAAGTTATTTATATTGGTTCATTAAATAAATTTTTTACAAGGTATTTGAAATAGGGTTTTTTTCAGATGAATATAGTGTTACTTTTTAGACATTACTATTTTTTTCCTTTACGTTCCCCAGTGGAACATAGGGCTTCAAGCTCGTCGCTTGAAGTTTCTGTAGCAGTGTTTATTTTACAGGATGGGGTTGCTAGCCTCATGCCCAACCTTTCCTTTTTACCAGCATTATTTCTGGCTCAGCGAGGTAAAGGAGTGCGTCGGCCGGGAATCGAACCTCGGACCATGTGCATGGTCGGCGAGCGTCCTAACCGCTATACCACCGACGCGCAGACATTACTATTAACTGTAACAAATGATACGGTAATGATAATGCAGTTCAGTCGGCTGATACAGATTGTTGTCGCATATACCAGGTTATGAATTACACTTGATATGTAACGATATAAACTGATTGCCCAGTTTGAAGTAAACAGAATATGAAGCGGTTGTACTTCTATGCTACACTAATAGAATTCTTGGTTTTTTTCACTGAAACCTATAAGTCTTTAAATGTTTGAACGTTTCCGACTAGGTTACTTAGCCACGTGAGTATCTTGAGTTTCAGTGTTAACTACCATCCAATAAACTACTTGGTACATTTAAGCTTTAAGCAAATAAAATGGATTTTGATAATTACAGAACTATAATCTAGCTAGGAGAATACATACAAGACTTCTGCTCCATGTATCGTGTAATAAGTATGCCAGGAAGTCGATCTCGAGGTTTATTACTAGTGCACAATGGCATTAAACTGTAAAACTGATGGCTGATAGTATGATACAAGTTGTTAAACCTTTCAACCACAGGTTCAAGAGTCGACTAGGATTTAGACACATATGATGAAGAGATTCGCAAAATACTTCATACCACCAGCTAAAGTGTTAAAAATCAGTGGATTTTAACGAAGTGGTTGAAGGATAGATAATTTGACAGCTCAAGGTTTGATGATAGACGGCATTGTGAGTGCACACTACAGTAGAAGATTCTCAAAGCAGAGCGAAAACACTGTGGATTGCCGCCTCATTTTCTATGTTTCACTAGCTGATGCTATTTTATGACGCAAGTCACCTTGAAATGAACCTAATACATCAGTATTTTTGCATTAGTTTAAAAAATAAGATTGGAGGGCAGGAATTCCTCGAATACCGTCATAAAGACTATAAGCGAAGCACATTCGATATCGAATTCAAAACGTAGGAAGAACTAACGAGGCGTACAAGTATATTTCCCAGGTAAAAATTGATGAATGCACCTCATTATTCCGTAACAGCAGCTACACTGATGCATAAAAGCGTAAATGAACATAATTTGCTTCATTTTGTTTTAAGTTTCTCATTTCTAAAACATTTAGTACTGTTGTTTTATTTTTCACAAAGGACTTAAAAGTTAGGATCACTAAATGCTGATGATACTACTCAGCTGCCTAGACCGAAACCGGTGAAGTGGCATTCGAAACGACGCACTGGCTTAAACCTAAGTGGTTAAAACCAATGCCTTTTGTGAGCTTAAGTATTTCTCTACAGTACATCCAAAGGTATATTGAATCTGCACCCATCCACCCCAGCAATAAACGACCCAGTACAGACAAACGTGGATAGACTTCGGTCTTCCTCCCAAGATTCTCCGACGTGGACAGCATTTCTAGCCTCTTCTACATAATTCCTATTCACTGCCTTCACGCGTAACAGGTGTTCCTAACAAAAATGAAAGGGTGAATTTGAACGTCTGATGCAGACAATCAGACTGGCGGATATACAGATCTAGCTAGAGAAGCTACAAAACCCTGACTCTAATCCTACAGTGTACATTGACTCATAAGAGTGGTTTATGAACCTGTTTCGGTTGCCGGGATCCATGGGGATGCAGCTCAACTGCCTTGTAGATCATACTTCAAGACAAAGGCTCGGGAGGAAGATGGCCTCTTAAGACAACCAACCGCTTCAGTTTCGGCGTCCGGTCAGTATCACAGCCCGCAAGCAAGCTGTGAGACTTTGTGTAGGGCACCTTTTGGTGCTTATAATGTTTAAAGTTTGTGTTTTAATAAACATAAAATAAAACCTTAAACCTCAATGCTGTAACTGACACTTATTATCTTGTAGTCACTTAATATCTAAACAAAATAATAATTGCTATAAAATAATAATTCAATGTAAGAAAACAAAATAAGTTTCAAATGCAAATTCTGTAAACCTTTAAGTACTTACTTGAGTAGTTGTTAGTAATCTATGCATTTTTGCATCATGAGAAGCTGCAAGCGCGTCTGGTGGACCTCCACCAAACGGATTTCCTACAGAAAATGCACGACGTGTTGTTTCACTAGATTCACATGGAGGAAGACCCATCCCAGTGACATATAATACTTTTTCATCATAGAAACCTTCAATGAGTACAACTGATCCTTCAGGAAACAGTCCCTAAGAAGGAAGAAAAAATTGAGTGTGAATCAGATCGCTTCATATTTAAGATATTGACAATTCTTTCGGAGTGGTAATTATATCTGATGAAATTTTAAATAAGTACACAACATGGCCATTACGATAGTTTATTGTTTAGTTTAATAAATAATCACATCATCAAATACGAAGGACTAGATACGACATCAGTGACACCCTTCTAACTAATCAATGCAATCATTACAGTCCTAGAAGAGGTCAATTGTGAACCAAAATAGCTTAATAGTAATATCTCTGACTCTAGTACTGGGTGATCCAAGTGTAAATCTCTGAGTAGACATAAATTCCACTGAGGCTGGAGATGCGTCTTGCTAAAATGTATCAACAAACACGACACCGAGGTGCCTGCCTTCAACCTCCTAACATGAATTCAAAGTGCGCCACGATGACAAGCAGCCTCATGAGTACATTGAGAACTTCACTAATAGAATCTAGCCACCATCAACATCAATGACTAGACTTATGACACTGCTTACTCCCAGTATCAATCAAAAGTCAGTCTTAGAGAATATTCTGTTCGATAAATCCTCTTCAGATCATTACAGTTAGAGAATAAAATATAAAAACCAGTTATATTGTGTGACAAACATGTTGGTTTGTTATTTTGCCATCCCCACATTTTATGAATCTGTTATGACTAATCACCATCATTGTCTTGCATTTCATAATATTTTGTAATTGCTTTCAGCCCAGCATGTCTGCCACACAAATACTATTTATTTTATCATCCAATATATTTAATCTGTTATTCTACGTCAAAATGTATCCGACGCAAAACTGGCTATCGTTGTAACGATAAATACTATATATTATTCTACTAAGGATTTCCTGAGCTTCTTCCTATACGAATTCGCGATCTGCTGTTGTATCTCTTGCATGAAGTTAATAAACTTTATCCGACACTGTCGAATTTGACTAGATCTGACCTCAAGGTGTTGATGTACTTCTGAGATGAATCAATATTCAATTTGGTGATGCGATGCAGATTCTTTTGAGATGGAGGTAATTCGGTCGATCTGACAAGGGAACCAGCTGTATGAAACTATATATCATAATAGTAAGGACCCTGAGCAAGGATGGCAAGCAAAATCGTGAAGAGTTCCATATTTTTTGCCAACCACTCAGCTGGTCCGTGATTCGATCCCAGGCTGATGCACTCCCAAACCTCACTTGGCTGGTAATAAATCTGAAAAAGAGGGGGGTTGGGCGTGAGACTAGCAATCCCCGCCCGTAAAAGTGAGACCACCGATACCGAGACTCCAAAGCTCTACCTTGAAGCTCCATGTTCCACTGGAACTCAAAGGAATAAAATATAAAATAAAAAAGGACCGGAAGAGAACTTATTGAAAAGAATACTCGTCGTTCAGACTGACTTTTAATTTATCATATAGGAATGTTTCACACTGGCAAATCTTATAATACTCCTTAATCGCCAATCAATATAAAACAGTATTGCTGGCTGTATGATGTTTGAATGTGATATTATGATTCGATATGACACGACATCTAATAATAGAACAAACACAGAATTAGTGGAATTTCGTTTTATGTGTTTTTTACACGATATTTGTGTTTGTGTGTGGGGGGGGGTGGTAAACTGAATTACATTAACTGCCTTAAACTATTTCTGAATAGGTCTTCCAAAACTTTAGGACACAGTAAGAAACAAAAATGTCAATTAGTAAAGATAATGATATGTTTACTATCAAATTAGATTAATTGTTGTCTAAGGCGCCGTTCTCATTAGTGAAGGTTATAACGTCGTTTACAATAAAACCAACTTTACTCTGTATATGAATAATTACATTTTCAAGAGTTGATTTGTAAGGATTTGATTTGTTTTTGGAGTTCGACGGATCGATATCAGTTAGAGAACCATTGAAAACCAGGGGGTACTGCACAGTTTGGAAATCATCGGTAGTGCTCACCCACTGGGGTTCGAACCCAGTTACAAGGCAAGCTCGTATACCATTTAGCCACTGGGACCCGATTCCATGGCTCTGGTTTTTAATTTTTCTCTAGGCGATATCAATCCGTGGTCAAACTCGGAAAAAAATCAAGTCCTTATAAATCTACTTTTGAAAATTAATCTGATGCTCGCTAGTGAATTGCTAAAGGATAGAGTTTCCTAGAGTTCTAGTGAGAAGTCGTGACCAGTGAGGTCCATCCATTTGGAAGTGAGGATGGATTTCCTGCCGATGACATAGGTTGGTGGTCGTGTTAAAATTACGAATTCATGGACTGGCCATTGACACCGGTCCCAGTGACTGAATGGTATACGAGCTCTCCTTGTAACCAGAAGGTCCTGGGTTTGAACCCCAGTGGGTGCGTACTGCCGATGATTCCCGAACTAGGGTGAAACAGCTGTCCAGTACTCCAGTGCTGGTTTTTAATGGTTCTCTAACTGATATCAATCCATGGTCAAACTCGAATAACTATATGTCGCTGTAACTATATTCGACCTGATCGGTCAGAAGTGAGTCAGATAACTTTTTTCGATCGAAGCGCTTCACTTCTCCCGTAAAGCAGCATTGAAAATGACAGCCAGTATGATAATAAAATGTTTGCCAGTCAAAACTTGAGTACAGATTACAAATTACTCAAGCGACATTCACATTTCGCGCAAAAGGATATACTCCTTCACAAATACAGTTCACTTAATTTCAAATGAAATCCATCTGCCCTAACCATAGTTTTAATTCTACCTTAAAATAATACACAATTTGTACAATTCCAGGTGAAATTTCATTACAGTTTCGTTCGGAAACCAAAATTATTCAGATGACACACAATATGTCATCCATCTGCTCGATAGGATAAACAACGATCAAGAAAGTAAGCATAAATACATAATACTATATACTAAAGATTGATTGAGACGAGTGGTTGGATATCATCTCCCGACCGATAGCTGCTACCTTGACGTGGTGGTCGGGATTGCATATCGCAATGACCCAACGAGCTACACTGGCTGGAACTTATGTTCCTGTAGGTCCTACCATGCCAGAAAGGTTGTTTGGATAGCGGTTAGACAAAAAGCAGATACCCAATCCAATACTATGATTCGAACAAACTCACAAAATATCATGCCGGATCGGTCAGGGCTCGGATTAACAACGACCGCGCTTCCTGCTGCCGTGTCACAGGGCAGAAGTGATAAATATGCTACTGAGACACACCAAACAAGAAAGAACAACCAAAAACAGGCCGCGTGTGACCGGCCTCAAGCAGTTGTCCCCTGGACTCTGCGGTCACGCAACACTAACCTTTTCTCTATTTCAGGTACCCGAAGACTCAACCAACTTCCACGGTGTGGGCAGCCGGGAAGTAACAACCGCCCACACACTTCCAAAAGCACACGAAGCCTACCTGAGCATCACTCTCCCTTACTCACATCACCTTCCTCATCTTGCTTCTCTACTACAGTTAGCACTATTCTTCACTTCACTCTGCAACCACAAACAACGATGAGAGCCATAGAAACACCCCAGATAGCCTTTTAACGTCAGGATATCATCTACATCAACCAGTAGTGCTTGTTAACCAGATAAAAGTGATTTAAACACCTGACGGCTGTTTCAGTGTACCTGGGGTTTAACTCAACTAAAAAAGCTGAATCACTCCAAATCACCAGAATTCCGGGTTAGCTACTATTTGAGAGAACTGGCAATAAGTTAAAGTAAATGCGTAATTTGCAAATCAATTCGCGGATTGAAATTTACACCGGTTTACTTAACACTACAAAAATTTAATCATATACATACATATAAGCTTCAATAAACAAGATGATCAAAGGAAAATAGTAAAATTAAAAGTAATTATGTGATAAAAAAAACTTCAATATTAACGCGTATTTTATCTTAAAAAACAACATAGATGTTAAATGCAATACGAGTGGATTGAAAAAAGAACTACTTGTTAATCTTCATTAGCACAGAAACTCATATTCTTTCTTCGAAATCCGAATTCGCGCTATTCACTGCTGAAGTCAGAGACTACCATCAACAAACTACTTTATGTTATAGCTTCATCCTGTCCACTGGTATCGGATGATACGTAAGCAAAAAATAATTTAGTCATCTAGTTCAATGCACAGAATGGACGTGGTAATGCTATGCCATTGATTGATTTCAACTGAACACTAAATAGATAGGAATGTTACACTAGCTAACCAGCATTCATCAAAGTAGTTAGAATACTAAATTTCAGAGTGAGTCCAGCATCAGAGATTAGTATAATAAGATACACGTGACCGTTATATTCCTTTACGTTCCCAATGCAACATAGGACTTCAAGCTGGAGTTTTGAAGTTTCGGTAGCAGTGGTATTTATTTATGCAGGATAGGGTTGCTGGCCTCATGCCTAATCTTCCCTCTTTACCAGTCTTATTACTAGTCTAGCTACGTAAAGGAGTGCATCGGCTAGGGATCGAACCCCGAACCACCTGCATGGTTGGAGAGCATACTACCGCTGTGCCACCAACGCACTCACGTGACTAGGTAGCCTATTTCTTAGACTATAAACACAGTGAATCTATACATCGCTCACCATTTGTTTTTACAAAGCCATAATAATTTTTTTATTATACCTCGTGAAAAATAGCCTGTTGTAAATTCAGTTTCACCATTCCTGAAGGATCTTCAGCATACCAATCACCTTCACGAAGTTGACTGATTAAACCTAGTACAACAACTGAGTCTATTCTAGATCCAGCTGCTAGTAAGTATTCAATCGGTCGAAGACGATAATTTGCGTTGGATGATCCTTCCAGAGAGGCTGTTTGTGAGAATACCTGATGTCGTAGCATTCTCTGATATATAACCTGTATAGAGAAAGTAGAGAATAAAAGAGAGTAGTGAGCAATTATTGAGTAACAACATAGTAATTTGCAGAATATTAATAAACAGCAAGTACCAAGTAAGTTATTACTCAATGCAAGCCCAAAATCCTGAGAATCTTCAAGGTGACAAGCACGTACCTCACATCACCACCCACCTATCTAGTAATAAACTCCAGAAATCAACAATTACCCATTCACTACTTTAGCAGCAACTACTTACCCCTGTGTGGAAATAGTGAATGGGACCTACCTGTCAAAGGACATGAAACCATAGCTGCATTTAACATTTTGGGGAAAAGACTAAAGTCTACCAGCTTCGGCCATACTGACTTATTAAGAGGATTTGTACTCGACCTCCAGTAGACAGATAGTGATAATTGTCTGGAAGAAAGCTAAGGATGACCAAATCGAGAAATGTTATTAATTTGGGAAGTCACTGACATTTGCTCTGCACTTTGTATAAAAGTATAAAGTATAAAACGAACTTACACTATGAGACTAGGTGACATGAATCAGGATCCATAACAGCAGTGTAAATAAATCCACATCTTGATTTTAAGATTACACTTATGTATTTGCTCCATTTCAGTTTCTTTCGTTTGGTAGAATCCTAGGACCTTTAACTTTATTCCCATTTCTTTCCTCATATCTCTGTTTACACTTTTTGAACTCTAAGTTAAGTCACAGACTGGAAAAGATTGATGACGTTAGACTTCATCACTTAGTCTGGTCAGAATTCGCCTTATTGCAGCCTAATTCCGATCCAAAATACACCGCTCATCGAGAAATGTTTTAGTTTGACATATGCAACACTTTGCTATTGTCAAGTATCTTTCATCAATTACTCTTTTTTCTTTACTAATTTCAGTTATTATAGGCTATCCTGATGAAAACAACCCACCTAAGTAGGGATTGGGAACGGATTTATGTAACTATGGAAAGAATAGCAGCGCACCATGAAACTTTCTGCAAAAGTCGATTATTTTGATGCACTATAATTTGAAATATCACAAAAAATAGAATAGAACGGAAATAAAATGATACTACAAAGAGCAAGTATAAGCCTGCAATTAAAAAATATAATGAAGCAAAGATCATTGACCGTTACAGTCTTGAAGATAAACATGAGTAAATAAGTCAGCACTGGTGGGAATAACTTTAGGTCATCCGGAAAAGCTTCAAAACCAGTATGCATAAAGGCAAAATTTTTATAGTTGTAACAGTGTATGGTTTATGAGATTCTACTACACCAGAAACTGAGAAATCAGATAAAAACGCATATTTAGTGTGTAGTAGGAACACGTTAACTAAATGTCCAGATAGTTGTTTACTAGCGTTAGATGTTGCTCAGAATCAGATGCAGTAACATTTGCTAAGTACCTTAATTTGGGCATCCTAAGTAAACACACCTCCCAACCGGGTCCCTATTGCAGAATTGTATGCCTTAAGTAATATATTTTATCTTACAAAACCAATCGATGGAGCTCCAAGAAAAACTTAAAATAGTACTGGTTCGAATCTTTCTGCGGTCCACGTTTATATATCTACCTCATTGATTACTCTTTATGAAAATGTTCGTCCGGCTGTCTGAGCTAATCTCCCCAACGATAAAAGACTTCTCCTGACGAACATTATTTATTACTATTTATTAAAACACAAAATTAGTACATTATGTGCACCAACAGATATTCCGCACAAAGTCTCATAGTTCCCGAGAGGGCTGGAATACTGCCCGGACGCCAAAACCGAAGCAGGTATTTATCTGAAGAGGCCACCCCGTCCCAAGTCTTTGTCTTGAATTAAGATCCACAGTGGAGCAGCATCCGCACGGTTTCCGGTGACCAAAACAGGTACATACACCACTCAGTTCAGATTCTGGAACCCATGTACACCCTAGGATTGGAATCAAGGTTTTCTAGCTCCCCTTGGTAGGCTTGGGTGTTCACAAGTTCGGTTTTAAGCGCCAGACGTTCGAATTCACCTTTTCACTTTTGTGAGGAGCACCCGTGACGCTTGAAGACGGTCAATTGAACTTACCTTGGAGAGGCTACGAACGCTGGTTACATGAGAATTTCGAGAGGAAGACCAAAGTTTATCCACCCTTGGCTGTATCACGACGGTGTTCAGACAATATACCGAGAAAACTGGTTAGGATGGAGAATGACAACTATTATCTCAAAGCAGTTCTCATAAAAAACTACCCACACAATATTTAGATCCGTAATAAACACAATACAACTGTTACATGCATACAGACTTTTAAAGATACCAAGTTTATGCATGAATTACCCAACAAGTAAGAAAAAGAAGGGATTCAGAAATATTAATTTCTATTAATATAACGGGTTTCACCAAGCCTAATAAGTTAAAGTTTAAAAATTGAAACCTGCAGACAATGCAACTTTTTTGCATGCTATAGAAACAGATACTTCCATCCTACATTTGGCGGGATTAATAGCCGTCTAAATAAATATTGCCATGATAGAGCAAAAATAATAGTTAAATTAGTTTTTTAACCCAAAAGTCCCACTAATAAAAAAGTTCGTTTGCACTTTTAATGCTTGACTTTTCACAGAAAATTGTCAAGCTTCGATTATTTGCTGATTCGAATTACGTAAAAATGCCATAACTGAAATTACCATATGGATTGGGTGGTAAGTAGGAAACTTTGGCGAAGTTCGGTCTACTATTTATTCTGTCCTCAGAATTTCTCATTCTACGGGAGATTTTGATCCATACATCAGTAATAAGGGTAGTAATCAGTGTCAAATTTCCCCATTATAATATAAGTAGCACTGCTATTACATAAGTTCTACATTACCAATAACTGATTCGCAAGTAGTTGCAGCAGAAAATGCTAAATAAGCAGAGCAAACCATAACGCGTGCAAAATTGGACAGGATACCATGTAGTCATAAGCCTTCGGCTCTTTTACACTAGTGTTTAGTTCTAAGAGAAAAAGAGTTACAGACAAACGTTTCTCGAGTATCAAAATGTAGTCACTTGTTTCTAGACCAAATCGTTACACCTTTCGTCTACTGTACGGAAGTACTTAATTGCAGTGCACCCAATAATCTTGAGGGACGTTAAATGATCGTTCTGCCGAGTTATCCAAAGGCAGAGAGTATATTCTGACTGACATTACGTAGAGACTTTTGGTAACTATTACGAGAAAGAAAGTATTCTTCGCTGCGCGCTTAACACGATATCATTAATAAGTATTAATTATGATAATTACATACTAATAACAATTCCAAGACGACAAACAAGGAATCCAGACAGGATCTGAAATACTTTCATGTCTCTATATTCTTCCAGCTAGCATTTCCTTCGGGCTCATTGCAGAACGTCGAACAATTATCTGCGATGTGCCCCAAAGATTCTGAAGTGCACCCGAAGTCAATACTAGCTGGGCTGTTTAAACACATTAAATCACGTCTTCCATCCAATCCAACTTTAAGTGTATACATAATGCTATGAACAACTCCCGATTTACAGAACTACTTTAAGTGCTTTACATACAATTCGACAAACAGACAATGAAATAAAACAAGAAAAACGAAAACAAACACCGGAAATACCTCGTAGCGGTGTGAATATAAAAATGCCTTCGCATCTGCTGTCACCGGAAATATCAAACGCTCATGCGCCGCACTTTCAGGAACAAAAGGAACGAACTTATTCAAAGACTTCGAATGACGGAAATAAGGCACCTTCAGGAATGTGGAAGAACTTAGATTGGATCTTACCGAAAAAGCATCAATAACATACAAAACGGTGTTGTCCGTGCAGTGGTCCGCACGGCATTCCTTGACAGCTGCTTCACACAGTACTTTTGATATTTTGTTGTTATCGATTTTTTGCTTCAGAATAGTATCAACTAGCTTCCGTAGGACTTTCTGACGTTTTGCTGCCTCAACGCGCTGAACAATTGACAAAATGTACTGGGAGGCATCTGGCGCAAGAAAAAGTCCATTAAGTTTGAAAGGCCTATCCACATCAGACTTCGAGACTTCCTACGAAATCTAGAATGATACACAAAACAAACCATTCCACTCAAAATCCCGCGGAAGTGAAATGTCAAAAGTAGCACATAACTGCATTATGTGCAAAGACAAAGTAAACAAACAAAAGCAGTTTTCATTTGGATATCATGAGAAAATCTCCATTAACTGCCACTTTTCTGTCTTCTTTAAAACTGTAAAGGAACACAAAATTCTATTTAATAAATGATAAATAGAGCTTCTGCCTCCAATATCAACCAATCCGCTCAGCCTTTTGCCAGCAGGCGATTCCATGGGCCCATACAGATCGGTGAGACATGCTCCACATGTCTTGTTTTTCCTTGGATTTATCAAAGCACTTCTGAGATGAATATCAGTGACATATTTCACAATAATTTTATCTGAACGCCATTAGATTCTATTATTATTGTTTCCTTTAGTTCCTAGAGGAACATAGGGCTTTAGCCACACGTCTCCATTGCATTCGGTTCTCTGGCTATGTTTCCACCTGGCTCCACGTCTGCTCACATCCTTTCACCTCCTCTTCACATGACCTCCTCCAAGTCACCCTTGGAAGACCAACTAGCCGCTTCCCGTCCGGGCTCCATTCGAGGGCCTGTCTTGTGATGTCACCTGATGGTTTTTCTCAGAATATGGCCAATCCACCTCCATTTCTTCCTGCATATTTGTTGTACAATCGGTTCCTGGTTGGTGTGCTCCTAGAGATCTCTGTTGCTGATCTCTCCTGGCCGGCCATCTGATCTTGAGTTGTAATGAGCGAAGATAGCTGTTGATATTATATCATATTTTATTATATTATGCATATACATATTATATTTTATATATTATATTATGACATACGTTAAATGTTCCAGCTCTTTTTTTCATTCATATTCCTTGATCCCTTAAAGTCCAGTGGCACAAAACACCCACCTTGTTAGAAAAAAGCTGCACCTTCCTCGAAAGAACAATAGTTTTCATAGCCAGGCCAATAACAATTTATATTTCGTATAAACAGGTAAGTTTACAAGAAATGCATGCCATTTTTCAGTCACGATCATCAATGTTATTAATTACAATCCTGAAGTATCATAAATTAACACTTTTTCAAAAGTTTCAATTGTTCAGTTATTGTACAAGCAATTAGAACAGGTTCGTATGATTGTTAAATTGTAAACCCTTCACTAAGTTCACCATCAAAGCTGAGCGACAACCCAAACTTCGTTCTGTGTCCTGCCGATAGTTATAGTCAATCAGTAAACAGCGTATATTTGGGTAAGTGCGGTACTTCCACGTGATTAAAAGCATTTTCATGGAGAGGAGAACGTCCTGGAAAACAGCAAAATGTCATAAAACACAAGTGTGGATAATACATCACTGAAAGTATACCTAAAAGATATATGCAAGAAAGGGGTGGAGACTTCTCGGAATGATAGTATAAATTTGCAATGTTTAATGCTAACTATATTGGTCTTAGCATGAAACTGTGACATTTTCGATGAAAATATAGTTTTGCTCAAACATTGGTATTGTTTCGTTTTTCATCAAAGCAACCAGACTTTGGGCAAGAAACAAATCTGAACAAAGTGTAAGTTTTAGCTTTGATAAAGGCCTAAGCATTTAAGATAAGACAGAGTATAATAGTGAGCAAATAAAAAGATTATTGTGAGGCAGATAAGTGATATTTCAATGAGAGGTGAATTCAAAGCATTATAGATTGCGAAAGTACATCATCGCTCAACGAACATCATATCTCCTCCTTGTATACCTTCTGTAAATGCAGCTTACTCTAGTGATTCAGTCCACTTAGCAGTTTCTCGGGAGGATTTTTTCACCAAGAAACAGGCTGTGGTACCTACCTGATATTGACTAATTATTGGTTGGGTACAATCACAGATAGGAGGCGAAACGACGCTTAGGTTGCCACTCAACCTAGATGACGGCCCACAGAACGGCTTTAGAACTTGCCATTAATTTGGACATGCACTGACACTTTATGTTACAGTTCGATTGTTATATCCATCTCATCAGTACTTCCTCTAATATTCGTTTATTTCCTTATATCATATAATTCTTGAAAATTGTAGTACAAAATTCCCAAACGCATGTTCGTAGAACCACAACTGTTTTAGCTGGGAACCGAGTTTCGGCTAATTCTGCATTACTTCCCTATAATATAGCATTAACTACCAGCTCACAGAGTGGCTCGAATTCAATCCTTACTTCTTTAACACAGTTCCCTAAAAGAACTCTGATTTCTGTAAGTTAAATTGCCTCGGGAAAGACATCCAGAGGCACACATGGCTAATGTGTCATATGAATGCAAACGACTTCGCAAAAAGTCAACTCAGCTTAAATGCCTCACCATATTTAGGTTCAGTAACTCTCTCAATCCGAGTAAGCCTACAAAATTTCAAGATCATCTAAGACTAAATAGTCTACTACAATAGCTCAGGATAAAGCACCGTGTCAACTTAGAGCAATACGTAGTAATAATCCGATCACCTCTTCTGACTTAAGTTCACCGAAAGTGGGTCTCGTATCTCAACAGTCAGCTAATGCAGACAGTAACATTGAACGAATTGTACAACCTGAACGCTTACCAATGGTACCAGGAACTGATTTAAACATGCGTAGCGGTACGTCCAACGTTTGCGTTACATTTTTGCGTGATTCGTTACATAAAATTTATCTTGTTGTAATCCTTGCACAAGTCCTCTACTACTTCCATACCTATAACTATTAACTCTCATATCAAATAGTTATGATTAACCAAAGTAAAAAGCAGCGAACTCAATCCCCTGTAAAACTGATGACTAATTTTAAGTCGTTGATTGCTACATCAAGCAACATACTTCCTACAAATGGTTATAGTGAGCCACAAAACTCACTTGTATGTCGTAAGCGTCGAGCTGAAACTGAGGATAAAACTATACTGACAGCTAGTATTAGCAATACTCCCAAAAATTCAGTACCCTCTGCTCATACAGAAACCCTCCCTACACCTTATGTGCTTATCGAAAAGCTCCAGCCTTCAAGCTCTGTTTCAGTACTATCTTCAGAAATAGAACTTCTAAAGTTGTCTATAGGAGAACTTAAGGCCGAGTTAAGGGACTTAAAAAACAATAAGTCAGTAGATCCTGGAATTTCCGATACCAATACCAAAATCTCCAATTTATCAGGTCAGATCAGTGATATCAGACTGCAGGTCTGTGAACTGACACCTTTAACTATTCTCATGAAAACTGTAGACCTTAACAAAGTTGACAGTGAATCGATATCTAAGGTGGATAACCTAATTAACTTTGTTACTACAGAAGTAACAAAACGACTAGATGCTAAATTAAATGCTATTGTCTACAACGTTCCGGATAATGAGGCACTAAAAAAGGTACAGCGCATCCTACTTAGTGAGGCGAAAATGCCCAACTCCAAGACTAAGTGCTACAGGCTGAAGAAGAGTCAACATGACAAGTGTTGTCCTATTCGTTTTCAGTTCGAAACACCGGCTGAGGCCAGAAAATTTACCCACTCCCAACACACCCTATCGCAAGCCAGAAATTACAAACTAATAAAGGTTGCGGTGGACAAGACCGTCATAGAAAGGCGCGTATATAATTATCACACTGAGTCTAACTGTGGAATAAACAATAGTACATTGCAAGCAGCAATTATACCCAACCCCTTGAGAGATACCGTAGAATCCACCGCACCACCCCTCTCTAACCACACAGAATTATCTTCTCAGAGAGCGACACCAACCGAAAGGCCGCTAAATTGTAATCAAATAGCCAATAAAACTATACCACCTACCACCGTAGATTTAGACATGTCACTAAATAATCCAAGAAAAAAAGTCAAAATCCCCCGAAAATTGACCCTTTCCTCCCCTAGCCATAAGTCCATTGGTAAAAAAGGGAAGAATATGACCCCAAATCATGCCAACAACAACAATGGCAGTATAAGTAAGCCCACATTCCCCACGGTCAATAGTATTGGCACCCACAACGTGCGAAATAGCACCATGGCCCACACTGATAACCAACGCCAAAACAATGCCACCCTCAAGAGTACAAGTGACAATAGTCAGAACTCGACCACCAACAACTCAGGGCATTCACAGTATGGCACAAAAATAAATTTCGACCGGATATATGGTACAAGTCTGCTGGGAACTAACCCACAAAGCAGTACATTCGAAACCCTTACAAGGACACCACTAGTACCTAACAACAGGTGGAATAATAGACCATGGTCTTCACAAGGTCCCAATCATTTTTTATCCCCTGCGTCCCTGTCAGCGTTGAAAAAACAGCTGGTAGGGGTGCTAACACTCCTAAACCGCTAGTGCTGGCTCCCCCTTTGCATGAATGTAGGAACAGTCTAGTTCGCCCGCATCCACTAAGCACACTTGGTACATGCACAAGTTTAGGTCAAATAAAGATCCCTACCCCCGTTTCTAGCTTAACTAAAAATAAAAATGCCTTAGCCTATAGCACATCCAGTACTCCAACGCTCAATTCTTCACCGAAAACAGCACACACCAACTCGATAGACATAGGTGAACATGATACTGAAACTCCTCTTAACATAGGGTCGTCATGTCAAACAGTACTACTGGGTGCTGAACCACATTCGGGGCTGATTAACGAACTTAAGTACTTCAAATGCTATTTCAAATCTCATCTTCACCTAATCCTCATAAATGCTAGATCCGTTCTAAATAAACTACCGATGCTCAGAGCACTCACAGTAATATACAAACCCCCTATAATTGTCATCACTGAATCCTGGTGTAACTCGAACATACTGGATGAAGAGATAAGCTTAGATAACTATACACACTTTCGGTGTGACAGGGAAGGTGGTAAGGGAGGGGGTTGTCTTATGTACTTTCTGAATGCACTTACTGTATCACAGCTAGAAAGTAGTACACTTAACACGCCTGAGACTTTATGGGTTAACTTACACTTAAACAACGCAATAGTATTGATTGGATGCACCTACAGAGCACCTGGCACCTTTAGTAATTACGAGACCCAACTTATTAATACTCTAGAACAATTATCCACCCTCCACTACGATCATAAGATCCTATGTGGAGACTTTAACTTACCAGAAATCAACTGGGAAATACCCACAGGTCCAACTAAACTTGATAAGTTCTTAGGCACACTGGATATACTTGGCTGGAAAAAGACTGTCGCAACCCCACACAAGAGGTAATAACGTACTAGACTTAATCTTCTGCCACAATATAAGTCCCCTTTCTACCCTAGTAGGTTCTGAGTTTTCAGGGAGTGACCACAAAACAGTGCTGTGTGCACTGCCACTTCCGTCAAGTAGCAATGCAACCCATACCCCTACTTCACAACAAATAACTTACAGGAACTACAGTAAGGCAGACTGGACTCTAGTAAAATCAATGCTAAGATCCTCAGAATGGAGTGAGTACTTCTATACTGATAGCCTCTCGAAAGCTCTAGACATCTTTTACTATAACTCCAACACATGCTTAGATGCTGTCATCCCATTTCAAACACTAAAGTTTTCCCCACATAGAAAGACATTCATAAAGCCAAAGGATCGTAGGAAACTGAAAAGACTGTCAACAAGTTACTTCAGGCGACACGACTTTAGTACACTAGGGTCAATACTTAGTACTCTTAGCTCCATCTCGCAAGCTCATAACTTGCGTATGAGAAATGAAGAATGCACGGCACTAGCCAGCACCACCAGAGTAGGTGCTCTCACAGAAATACTAAAGAAACGAATGAATCGCCAAAGCCATAAAATTTCTCTCCTTATAAACAAGGGCAAACTATACAGCAACCATGCAGACATGTGTGAACTGTTTAATGAGACGTTTGCAGCTAACTACCTTAAGCCTACAAGTCCACTTCTCGGTTTACAATCTAAAATAGAACTCCCTTCATCTTCAACGCTGAAACAAATCACTACAGTTCATTTCACTTACTCTAATATTAACCAAGCCGTTAATACTCTTAAAAGCTCTAGTAGTGCCGGTTTTGACGGTATACCATCGTATCTTTATAAACACGGTGGTTCTGACATTTCCGTTTTATTACTTAAGATTTTTACAATGTCCCTAGAAAACCAAACCTATCCAGATAAATGGAAAACGACATTTATAGTACCTAAACACAAATCCGGATCAAAAACTGAAGTCAACAACTATAGGCCAATCAATATTACACCCATAGTATCTAGAATCATTGAACGAATAGTTAAAGATGATATCCCCAAACATATGCTCAGCTGCAATATTCTAAGTCCAAACCAACATGGATTCCCAAAATCCAGATCATGCATGACATGTCACCTTGACTTCTTTAACTACATAACTAGCAGCCGTGACAAACAACAACTAGTACTTGTCATCTACTTCGACATATCCAAAGCCTTTGACCGCGTTGACCATTTGCTTCTAATAAATAAGCCAAACCCCTTAGGAATAAGTAACCCATTATTAGGATGGATTGAATCATTCCTTAACAATAGGTCCCAAGTAGTTAGACTGGGTTCTGTAAACTCTAAACCTAGTCCAGTCACTTCTGGAGTAGTACAAGGTAGCGTCTTAGGCCCCCTCCTGTTCACTCTATATGTCAACGACATATGCAGCTGTTTCTCACTTGGCAAACCATTCATCTTTGCAGATGATCTTAAAGTAGCTTACACATTCCACTGTGATGACTTAGGGTACTTTCAGAAAGCTGTTCAGGAAGAACTAGATCGAGTAACTGCATGGTCCTTCACATGGAACCTAAAATTCAACCTTAAAAAATGTGGTTGGATATGCCTCGGTGCACCCTCAATAAATATTAAACTGGTACTTGAATCTATTGACTTGCCCAAACTCCAAAGTGTTGTTGACCTAGGACTCAGGTACTCTAGTGACCTGACATTTTCTCAGCATGGCTTCAGGTCATGTATGACTTGCCACTTAGAACTATTCGATTTTATAACTGGACTTACAGACCAAAAATTCGTTGTGCTCATTATGTATATTGATCTTAAGAAGGCCTTCGATAAAGTATGTCATAATTTACTCCTGCAAAAACTTAAGGCTTACGGTATATCTGGCAATCTCTTACAGTGGTGCAATTCATTTTTGTGTGGTAGGTCCCAGTCTGTTAAGATTAACGACACTTTTTCCAGTACCACTCCTATATCAAGTGGCGTGATTCAAGGTAGTGTACTAGGACCTCTCTTCTTTCTAATATATCTAAATGACGTCTGTGATGTTATAAAGCACGGCAGACCTTTCTTATATGCCGACGACTTGAAGATAGTCTACCACAGTACCACCCAAGAAGTGACAAAACTGTCTCATAAAATCCAATCGGATATTGATAATATTGAGACATGGTGTAAGTCGTGGATGATGCAGATCAACGTGGAGAAGTGTGGACTGTTATGCCCAGCTAGCTTACGTACCACACCACACATAACTATGTGCAACAAGCCTATCACTATCTTTCCTTCTGTACTTGACCTCGGGCTTCGCTACTCCGCTGACTTTAAATTCTCTCTCTATGTCACCAACCAAGTTTCTAAAGCCAGAAGATTACTTGGATTTATATTTCATAACTTTCAAACACAAGAATCTAAAATGTTACTTTATAAAACACACATACGGCCCCTCCTGGAGTACTGTCCATTTATCCTAGACAGCACCTCTGTTAAGGACAAACTAAAGATTGAAAGTGTTCAAAGGAGATTTACAAGTAGAATCCTAGGAACAAGTCTGAAAGTTCCCTACAACTATCGTTGCACAACTCTTAAGATCGAACCCCTTTGGTACAGGCGCCACCGACTTAACCTCATTCTCCTTCTTAAAATAATCAAGGGAATAGTATACTTTCCCAATAATAACCTTAACTTTACTTCTTCGACGTATGAACTACGCAGCAACGGGTCTTCTCTTAGTCATATTCTTTGTCGAACGAAATTACGTTCCAACTTCTTCACAGTCAAATATAGGCAAACATGGAACTTCTTGCCAAGTGAAATTAAAAATAGCACCACATTACAACGATTCACCTATCTAGTAAATAAATATTTCTCTGAAAACAGTCTTGAAACAGTTTGCCACATACTGAAAATTCGTGATATTGTTTCTTTCCCCTTTGAATTACGTACCTAAATGATAGGATCCCACACACTTTGTTATTGTTCAATTATCTTAACGACTGTTAATCTCGTATAAGTTGTATATTATCATTTCTCACGCATATTGTTATTGTTCAATTATCTTAACGACTGTTAATCTCGTATAAGTTGTATATCATCAATTCTCACACACTTTGTTATTGTCAATTATCTTAATGACTGTTAATCTCGCATATGTGTTATATTGTCATTTCCCAGGCACTTTGTTATTGTTCAGTTATCTTAATGACTGTTAATCTCGCATAAGTGGTATATCATCATTCCCACGCATTTTGTTATTGACTATTACGACCAATTATTTCAAATACTGTTAGCTGTCTCTATTGGTTGTAAAATTGTATAAATACCATTTCCTAAATAAGTTATTTGTAGTTGTGGTCGTCGTTGTTGTCGTTGTCGTAGTCGTAGTTGTTGTACTACAATACACAGTCACAGACCAGACTTTGTCTTTTGATATTTGCGTGGTTCGCTGAGTCGGAAGGTACCAGAAGCAGATAGGCATATTAGTCAGGCGCAGACAGAACAAGACAACAACGTTCCTCATTTTAATTCCCCGTACAGTTATAACAATTGGCGACTGGGGTTTACTTTAATTCACTGCAGTTATAACAAGCAAACGACGACGGGTTTTATTCTGTTCAGCGCATCTATAGAACATTTTTGACTGTGTTAATTACAACCCAATTACAATGTCTATCTCTCTGGACGATCTCAAATCCATCTTGCAGCAGCGGCAACTTCAGAATGAAGCAGCTCAACTTAAATTAATCGAAGCTCTCACTCAGAAGCTGTCAATTCAAGTCCCATCAACATCTCATTCAGAAAAATACGAAAGCATCTCAAATTCCATCAGTGAATTCAACTACGACCCAATATCTGGTCTCCTATTTGATGCATGGTTCAATCGTTATGAAGACGTTTTTCGTATTGAATGCCACATGTTTGATGATGCTGCCAAAGTCCGATTGTTACTAAGAAAACTTGGAACTGTTGAGCACAACAGATATGTTAACTTCATTCTGCCTAAGAACCCACGTGAATTATCATTCGATGAGACAGTCACCGTTTTATCACAAATCTTTGGTGAACAGTCATCCATGTTTAATATTCGGTATCAATGTTTTCAGTTGACAAAAATGCCTTCCGATGATTATGTTACTTACGCTGGCAAAGTGAACAAAGAATGCGAAAGGTTCAAACCACACGAAATGACATCAGATCAGTTCAAGTGTTTGATTTTTATTTGTGGGTTGAAGAACCCTGAAGATACTGACATCAGAACTCGACTTCTGTCACTCGTGGAACAAGACCCAAAAATGACTTTACAAATGGTGACAGCAGAATGCCAACGCTTAATCAACTTGAAGCACGATACTGCTATGTTGGATTGCAAACGACAGTCGTCTGAATTTGATTCAGTTAACACAGTGAAAAGTCCTCCGATCACCGTTAAGCACACAGCACGTCAGTCTCAGAATTCAGCTAAACCTCCTTCAGTGTGCTGGCACTGTGGTTCGTGGCATTTTGTCAAGTTCTGTCCTTTCAAGAAACATAAATGCCGTAATTGTCACCGTTTTGGACATAAAGAGGGTTACTGTCCACCACAGAAAAATTCTTCGGTGAAGAACAGAAGTAGTCGTTTCAAGCCAAAACAATCTCCTCGAGTACAGACTATTTTCACAACTTCCAAAGTCGATTTCGCCAGCAAACGTAAGTACATTACACTACGTATTAACGGCAAATCTATTCGTCTTCAGTTGGATACGGCATCAGATATCACCTTAATTTCCCGAACTACGTGGCGCAAACTTGGGTGCCCACAGATTCTGCCGACCGAGCATGTCGCTAAGAATGCCTCTGGAGATATACTGAAACTCGTGGGTGAAATAAATTGCCAGGTTCAGTTTGGTGAGAAACAGTTCAATGGTGTATGTTATGTCACAAACTACCATGATTTGAATTTGCTTGGTCTTGACTGGTTAGACAAGCTCCATTTCTTCAATGTACCGTTAAATTCAGTATGCTCTAATGTTTCGTCCTCACCAAAGAACGTTGTTCCCGGACAGGTATCTGATCAGTCTCTCTTGCAACGCCTGCGTGCTTATGCAAAACCGAAGGGGGAGGGAACAACAGAAGAAATTTTGGATAGATCCTTGCTACGTTATCATCGTACGACGCCAAATCCTTCCACAGCCGAAAGCCCGGGACGCAGATCACAATCTATCCAGTACGCGAAAGTCAACTCGACAAAGAAGAGCTCCAAAACCTTTTCAAATAGGTTCAAAAAGCAAGTCCTACACTTTTAACGGGGGGAGGTGATAGGATCCCACACACTTTGTTATTGTTCAATTATCTTAACGACTGTTAATCTCGTATAAGTTGTATATTATCATTTCTCACGCATATTGTTATTGTTCAATTATCTTAACGACTGTTAATCTCGTATAAGTTGTATATCATCAATTCTCACACACTTTGTTATTGTCAATTATCTTAATGACTGTTAATCTCGCATATGTGTTATATTGTCATTTCCCAGGCACTTTGTTATTGTTCAGTTATCTTAATGACTGTTAATCTCGCATAAGTGGTATATCATCATTCCCACGCATTTTGTTATTGACTATTACGACCAATTATTTCAAATACTGTTAGCTGTCTCTATTGGTTGTAAAATTGTATAAATACCATTTCCTAAATAAGTTATTTGTAGTTGTGGTCGTCGTTGTTGTCGTTGTCGTAGTCGTAGTTGTTGTACTACAATACACAGTCACAGACCAGACTTTGTCTTTTGATATTTGCGTGGTTCGCTGAGTCGGAAGGTACCAGAAGCAGATAGGCATATTAGTCAGGCGCAGACAGAACAAGACAACAACGTTCCTCATTTTAATTCCCCGTACAGTTATAACAATTGGCGACTGGGGTTTACTTTAATTCACTGCAGTTATAACAAGCAAACGACGACGGGTTTTATTCTGTTCAGCGCATCTATAGAACATTTTTGACTGTGTTAATTACAACCCAATTACAATGTCTATCTCTCTGGACGATCTCAAATCCATCTTGCAGCAGCGGCAACTTCAGAATGAAGCAGCTCAACTTAAATTAATCGAAGCTCTCACTCAGAAGCTGTCAATTCAAGTCCCATCAACATCTCATTCAGAAAAATACGAAAGCATCTCAAATTCCATCAGTGAATTCAACTACGACCCAATATCTGGTCTCCTATTTGATGCATGGTTCAATCGTTATGAAGACGTTTTTCGTATTGAATGCCACATGTTTGATGATGCTGCCAAAGTCCGATTGTTACTAAGAAAACTTGGAACTGTTGAGCACAACAGATATGTTAACTTCATTCTGCCTAAGAACCCACGTGAATTATCATTCGATGAGACAGTCACCGTTTTATCACAAATCTTTGGTGAACAGTCATCCATGTTTAATATTCGGTATCAATGTTTTCAGTTGACAAAAATGCCTTCCGATGATTATGTTACTTACGCTGGCAAAGTGAACAAAGAATGCGAAAGGTTCAAACCACACGAAATGACATCAGATCAGTTCAAGTGTTTGATTTTTATTTGTGGGTTGAAGAACCCTGAAGATACTGACATCAGAACTCGACTTCTGTCACTCGTGGAACAAGACCCAAAAATGACTTTACAAATGGTGACAGCAGAATGCCAACGCTTAATCAACTTGAAGCACGATACTGCTATGTTGGATTGCAAACGACAGTCGTCTGAATTTGATTCAGTTAACACAGTGAAAAGTCCTCCGATCACCGTTAAGCACACAGCACGTCAGTCTCAGAATTCAGCTAAACCTCCTTCAGTGTGCTGGCACTGTGGTTCGTGGCATTTTGTCAAGTTCTGTCCTTTCAAGAAACATAAATGCCGTAATTGTCACCGTTTTGGACATAAAGAGGGTTACTGTCCACCACAGAAAAATTCTTCGGTGAAGAACAGAAGTAGTCGTTTCAAGCCGAAACAATCTCCTCGAGTACAGACTATTTTCACAACTTCCAAAGTCGATTTCGCCAGCAAACGTAAGTACATTACACTACGTATTAACGGCAAATCTATTCGTCTTCAGTTGGATACGGCATCAGATATCACTTTAATTTCCCGAACTACGTGGCGCAAACTTGGGTGCCCACAGATTCTGCCGACCGAGCATGTCGCTAAGAATGCCTCTGGAGATATACTGAAACTCGTGGGTGAGATAAATTGCCAGGTTCAGTTTGGTGAGAATCAGTTCAATGGTGTATGTTATGTCACAAACTACCATGATTTGAATTTGCTTGGTCTTGACTGGTTAGACAAGCTCCATATCTTCAATGTACCGTTAAATTCAGTATGCTCTAATGTTTCGTCCTCACCAAAGAACGTTGTTCCCGGACATGTATCTGATCAGTCTCTCTTGCAACGCCTGCGTGCTTATGCAAAACCGAAGGGGGAGGGAACAACAGAAGAAATTTTGGATAGATCCTTGCTGCGTTATCATCGTACGACGCCAAATCCTTCCACAGCCGAAAGCCCAGGACGCAGATCACAATCTATCCAGTACGCGAAAGTCAACTCGACAAAGAAGAGCTCCAAAACCTTTTCAAATAGGTTCAAAAAGCAAGTCCTACACTTTTAACGGGGGGAGGTGATAGGATCCCACACACTTTGTTATTGTTCAATTATCTTAACGACTGTTAATCTCGTATAAGTTGTATATTATCATTTCTCACGCATATTGTTATTGTTCAATTATCTTAACGACTGTTAATCTCGTATAAGTTGTATATCATCAATTCTCACACACTTTGTTATTGTCAATTATCTTAATGACTGTTAATCTCGCATATGTGTTATATTATCATTTCCCAGGCACTTTGTTATTGTTCAGTTATCTTAATGACTGTTAATCTCGCATAAGTGGTATATCATCATTCCCACGCATTTTGTTATTGACTATTACGACCAATTATTTCAAATACTGTTAGCTGTCTCTATTGGTTGTAAAATTGTATAAATACCATTTCCTAAATAAGTTATTTGTTGTTGTTGTAGTCGTCGTTGTCGTAGTCGTAGTCGTAGTTGTTGTACTACAATACACAGTCACAGACCGGACTTTGTCTTTTGATATTTGCGTGGTTCGCTGAGTCGGAAGGTACAAGAAGCAGATAGGCATATTAATCAGGCGCAGACAGAACAAGACAACAACGTTCCTCATTTTAATTCCCCTACAGTTATAACAATTGGCGACGGGGTTTTACTTTCATTCATTGCAGTTATAACAAGCAAGCGACGACGTGTTTTATTCTGTTCAGCGCATCTATAGAACATTTTTGACTGTGTTAATTACAACCCAATTACAATGTCTATCTCTCTGGACGATCTCAAATCCATCTTGCAGCAGCAGCAACTTCAGAATGAAGCAGCTCAACTTAAATTAATCGAAGCTCTCACTCAGAAGCTGTCAATTCAAGTTCCATCAACATCTCATTCAGAAAAATACGAAAGCATCTCAAATTCCATCAGTGAATTCAACTACGACCCAATATCTGGTCTCGTATTTGATGCATGGTTCAATCGTTATGAAGACGTTTTTCGTATTGAATGCCACATGTTTGATGATGCTGCCAAAGTCCGATTGTTACTAAGAAAACTTGGAACTGTTGAGCACAACAGATATGTTAACTTCATTCTGCCTAAGAACCCACGTGAATTATCATTCGATGAGACAGTCACCGTTTTATCACAAATCTTTGGTGAACAGTCATCCATGTTTAATATTCGGTATCAATGTTTTCAGTTGACAAAAATGCCTTCCGATGATTATGTTACTTACGCTGGCAAAGTGAACAAAGAATGCGAAAGGTTCAAACCACACGAAATGACATCAGATCAGTTCAAGTGTTTGATTTTTATTTGTGGGTTGAAGAACCCTGAAGATACTGACATCAGAACTCGACTTCTGTCACTCGTGGAACAAGACCCAAAAATGACTTTACAAATGGTGACAGCAGAATGCCAACGCTTAATCAACTTGAAGCACGATACTGCTATGTTGGATTGCAAACGACAGTCGTCTGAATTTGGTTCAATTAACACAGTGAAAAGTCCTCCGATCACCGTTAAGCACACAGCACGTCAGTCTCAGAATTCAGCTAAACCTCCTTCAGTGTGCTGGCACTGTGGTTCGTGGCATTTTGTCAAGTTCTGTCCTTTCAAGAAACATAAATGCCGTAATTGTCACCGTTTTGGACATAAAGAGGGTTACTGTCCACCACAGAAAAATTCTTCGGTGAAGAACAGAAGTAGTCGTTTCAAGCCAAAACAATCTCCTCGAGTACAGACTATTTTCACAACTTCCAAAGTCGATTTCGCCAGCAAACGTAAGTACATTACACTACGTATTAACGGCAAATCTATTCGTCTTCAGTTGGATACGGCATCAGATATCACCTTAATTTCCCGAACTACGTGGCGCAAACTTGGGTGCCCACAGATTCTGCCGACCGAGCATGTCGCTAAGAATGCCTCTGGAGATATACTGAAACTCGTGGGTGAAATAAATTGCCAGGTTCAGTTTGGTGAGAAACAGTTCAATGGTGTATGTTATGTCACAAACTACCATGATTTGAATTTGCTTGGTCTTGACTGGTTAGACAAGCTCCATTTCTTCAATGTACCGTTAAATTCAGTATGCTCTAATGTTTCGTCCTCACCAAAGAACGTTGTTCCCGGACATGTATCTGATCAGTCTCTCTTGCAACGCCTGCGTGCTTATGCAAAACCGAAGGGGGAGGGAACAACAGAAGAAATTTTGGATAGATCCTTGCTACGTTATCATCGTACGACGCCAAATCCTTCCACAGCCGAAAGCCCGGGACGCAGATCACAATCTATCCAGTACGCGAAAGTCAACTCGACAAAGAAGAGCTCCAAAACCTTTTCAAATAGGTTCAAAAAGCAAGTCCTACACTTTTAACGGGGGGAGGTGATAGGATCCCACACACTTTGTTATTGTTCAATTATCTTAACGACTGTTAATCTCGTATAAGTTGTATATTATCATTTCTCACGCATATTGTTATTGTTCAATTATCTTAACGACTGTTAATCTCGTATAAGTTGTATATCATCAATTCTCACACACTTTGTTATTGTCAATTATCTTAATGACTGTTAATCTCGCATATGTGTTATATTGTCATTTCCCAGGCACTTTGTTATTGTTCAGTTATCTTAATGACTGTTAATCTCGCATAAGTGGTATATCATCATTCCCACGCATTTTGTTATTGACTATTACGACCAATTATTTCAAATACTGTTAGATGTCTCTATTGGTTGTAAAATTGTATAAATACCATTTCCTAAATAAGTTATTTGTAGTTGTGGTCGTCGTTGTTGTCGTTGTCGTAGTCGTAGTTGTTGTACTACAATACACAGTCACAGACCAGACTTTGTCTTTTGATATTTGCGTGGTTCGCTGAGTCGGAAGGTACCAGAAGCAG